CCCAAGTTCCAAAAAAAATGGGTGCTACTATCCCTTTGACCCCATTGATCTTGCTACTAGGTAGGAACCACTCAAAAAAACTATTGCAAGGACCATGCTCAAGAACTACTTTGTGAGGCACAGGACTGTGTCTGGGCAAAGAGCTGGAAACACATGAAGTGACCCCGGACGTTAGAACGTCCCATGACCGACAAGCACTTCCATGTAGCATCGTATGCACGTCTCTGCTAGCCAGTTGACCCCCAACCTTGACGATTCAAGCATCATGTGTGCAAGTAAGCAAAGAACCCAATCATTCATGTCATGGTCGAGGCCCTGCCAGAAAGCTCTAAGGTTCACTAATGCTTCTGTGCAAACATGCCCAAGTGCCAAGTTCAAAAAGACGTGTCCAAAGTCCACCGTGAAATCATGTTCCAATGTCATCCCTGGCCCATGATCTCCACGACGCGTTGCGGGATCAATGGTTCCAGCGAAGTCTTTGGCCCGGCGCCCAGTTCACACTGCTCTACGTAGTCTGAACAGCAGTTCCTGCTCCCAGAAGTGTTCCGTGATGGGAAATGTGTTGAAATTCAACAATGATACTATGACATACTATGACATTATGAGATGTTTGAAGCTGAGTCAAGTTGGTATGAGTATGTGTTTGTCATCGCTAACATCATGGTGAACTTCATAAGTCAACGTGTCTGGTGGTCAGAACATGCTGGGTATGGTCATCCCACCAAGGGATTCCGAATATTGGCTAGTACTATTGGCCCTATATATATTCCCTTTGGAGGGTAAATCTATATACATATCCATCTAATATTGGTACCCTCTGGTAATTAAACAGTCAGCTATTGAAAATGACCATAGAAATAGTGGATTTTCCCATTGAAAATGGTGGATCTTTCCATAGTTATGTAAACGTTTACCAGAGGGTATGTACTATTGGAAAACCCATGGGAACTTCACCATGTCCACATCCCATGTCCACAAGCCCGCCTGTAGTGCTTGCACTTCTCCGTGCATTGGCAGGATCGGCCCCGAACCTTGGATCATCTTGGATCGTGGCGCCAACGAACTCATCGAAACGTTGAGACGGGGGAATGGGAGCAGTGAACCAACAAAACTGGGGACATGATACTGCTAGATGTATCCAAAACAATACTTGGATACTTGGATACTAAGTATGATATTGTTTTGGATACTTGGATACTAAGTATATGATTATATTTTTACATCTCCAACACAAAACTGGTTAACATGGGATACTTGGAGACTTGGAGATGTATTAATATATAGTCATTTTTGTAGCCAACAATATGATTTTGGGGCTATCTGAAAATGGGGTATACCCCCAAATGGCTATCCTAAATCATTCCAAGGGGGCAAATGATGGATCAACCATGAAATGTGGTGTAGTGACACTATTTTCGGACAAACCCGTTTCAGGTTGAAGTGTCCGATTGCTGTGGACAAGTGTTCTTTTGACAAGAAGAATGAAACTAGTTCCTTCTGGTTTTCCTACAGAGGTTGAGTCTGCCAAAATCTTATGGTCAATGGACGAAACCCTTCTTCCAACCTTCCCGCATGCTTTGTGAAGCTCGCCTTGTGTTATGCTGTAAAAAAACGTGAGGCCCAATCCCAGCCATGCTGGGCAAATCGATAAAACATGACAAAATTTGGGGCTATCTGAAAATGGGGTATACCCCCAAATGGCTATCCTAAATCATTCCAAGGGGGCAAATGATGGATCAACCATGAAATGTGGTGTAGTGACACTATTTTCGGACAAACCCGTTTCAGGTTGAAGTGTCCGATTGCTGTGGACAAGTGTTCTTTTGACAAGAAGAATGAAACTAGTTCCTTCTGGTTTTCCTACAGAGGTTGAGTCTGCCAAAATCTTATGGTCAATGGACGAAACCCTTCTTCCAACCTTCCCGCATGCTTTGTGAAGCTCGCCTTGTGTTATGCTGTAAAAAAACGTGAGGCCCAATCCCAGCCATGCTGGGCAAATCGATAAAACATGACAAAACATCAAAACATCGTATTGTCCGGCTGAATTGTTTGTGATTCAACCAATGCTAAGCCATCATAAACAGGGTGACCTAATGGTGAGGTCGTCATAATTCAGCAAATATGAAAAGAGTATCTCAAGTGGCAGCCAAGAGGCATAGGCACCATGGCACCCCACCGAAGCGCAACCTGGCGGCACTTAATCCCTTCTTGTCTGGTACCTTTCAAACGGAGCGTCTCAACTGGGGCCCCTTAAGGCAATCAATTTCCACCTTGAATGGACTTGAAACATCTTTAAACTGTTGAAATCCTTGCTGGAATACTCCAAAGGATTGAGGATTTAAGGGCTTCAGGCTGCATTGCGCCCTCAGGAGGGGTGCCCAGTGAAGTGTGTTTTCTTTACTCTGACTTGGAATGTTAGCATGGTCTAGCTGTTTGTTGTGGCCTCGGCTGCTTGCCACACGAAGCCCCATCATTTCCTGCAACTTCACAACTCCTCTACGACTCTACAACCATGTCAGCTATGCTGGGAGCTGCATGCGCCCGTAGTTGACGCAAGGAGATGCCTTGGTGCTCATGCAGCTGTGTTTTTGTATACTTCTCTAACTCTACGCGTGTCTGTGAGTACAAGTGTTTGGATATGGATGTAGGACAAAGGCTGCAGAGTTGAATACTTGCATGTGTGGTGTGATGCATGACGACTTACAATGTACCATCCTTGCTGCATATACGGTTAATGCCGTCTTACCCAATAGCTGAAGAAAAGTTCATCGACGAGTTGCTGCAGTTCTCAGCATCCACCTGTGGCGGAGGTGAGATCATCTCAGCCAGTCAAAGTACAAGCCTTGAATAGTGATTCAGAGAAGAATTTGTGCATAGCAAACCAACAAAAATATAGAAAAGTGTTTCCAGGATGGTATATGTTTCATATTTTTTCCAGGTGTCCAACTTTCCTGTCCTATTCTTTTTGGGGGTTGCTACAAATGAAAGACAAAAGCCCGGAACATCTGATACATCTGCACAGCAAGACTTCCGAAGAATTTTATATAAAGGCCAGCAATAGGACTGCCGAAACAAAGATGCTTTGACCCATTGGCACAGCCAGAATCTTTGCCATGGTGACGACCAGCTGCAAACATATACTGTACACCCTTCTACTTGATCTTGGGGTGCAAAGCTGAAGCTGGCGAGGCCGGTCAACACCGTTCAAGCATGATTCATGATCTTCGAATTCATGAAAACACCTTACCTGCAGTTGATCAAATCATAACAAATCCGTTTTTTATGGTGGACCTGTCCATATAAATCACCATTTTCCCATGGTTTTCCCATGGTTTTCCCATGGTTTTCCCATCAAAAATGAGGTATTGTTTATTACCATCTTCCCGTTGGTTCCACCGCATCCCGTTGATGGCCTCGCAGTCATCGTTCAAAGGGAGCGCTTGTGGGATCTCCGACGCCTGAATCGATGATGTTTTCCCATGGCAGCCTTCATTTTGATTGGGAATTTCCCAGCTTGCCATGTTTGCCGGAGGGTAGCTGCAAATACATGAAAATACCTGAGTGTTTCGATACATGCCTCATGGAAGAAAATGTGAGAACATATCTATTTCATACCAAGAAAACATAGAATGGGGATAGGACAGCTCAGAATCCTAGCAACTGGATTAAGTGGATAACAACATTTAGAGCATTGTTTTGAGCCTCTTACGAGTACCAACATAAATTCACATCCAAGTGGGAACTGCCAGTGAACCTATGGGCCTCTGCGTCTCCTCTAATTAGATTCTTGACCCGTGAAAAAATGACTGGATTTTGTGTATTTACCAAAATTGAGTTTTGCATGGGTTTCCAACATACTCTAATCATTTATTTTCCATCATTTTTTCCATAACGGAAATGACATCTCCGGCAAATTGTGGCAAAATAATGAGCAAATATGGAATCCCCACAATTCCGTACACGTCCCATCATTGGATTAATAACTATCATTTTTGTTCAGAAGAACATAACGTGTTTCAAACATCAAGAACCAGGAAAGACACCAGAATTGTGGCAGTTCAGGCCCCAAAGGCAGGCTGGTGCTCGAAACATAGTCTGTGAAAAGAGTGAAAATAAACAAAAGAATACCAATAACACATCAAGAATCACATTTGCCTGGTAAACAAACTGTGATGAATAAAAAAGAGCATCGCATCTTGGAGGATCAGCCTTTTCAAACACGATCTCGCTTGCAGATTGCAAACCTTGCAACCGCAACTAGTAGAGGCCATCTGAACCGGAGGTTGAAAATGATTCTGCCTGTGACTTTGACTGAACCTCTGATAACAATCCCCACCTGGCCAACCACAAGTGCCGCAAGTGGTGCCAGCGCCAGCAGCAACCGGAGGCCCATGGCTAACGAGCTGGTTCTTTCTGGACTGATCTGAGCAAAAGATGGAAAACTTAGGGGAAAAAACGTGAAAGGAAACCCAGATCCATCATCTGTTGTTGTTTTTTCCACAGCAATATGAACATCAAATTGTTGACATCGGCGCCGGAACTTGCATCAGCAATTGAAAAGTCAGCTAATTCGTTCTTGTTCCATATTTTTCCCATTCACTGTATCATGGGGTCTGTCTGTGCACTTCATTCCTCTTGGATAGCGCTTTTGTGGAAGAGGAAGCGGCTTTGGTCAGCGACAGGGTATGATTTTTTATACTCATCACACCCTGGAAACAGAGGTTTTTGTGAAACATGTCACATTACATTCCAGCGTGTCTTATCATCTTTTATCCTTTCTGAGGAGCAGTGGTGGCATGGCATACTTGGTAGATAGAGGCTAAGAGTCGATGTGAGCCTTGAAGGTTTGATGGAAGTTTTGATATGATATTCGGGTAATTTCGGATATAAACAGTTGCCACCATCAGGAGTCCCCTAGAAACAGTATTCAAAAAATGCCAGTGATCTTGTTGAAACAGCCACAACCCTGTCAAACCTCAGACTGAGAAGAGCACCAAATGTCACATGTTCATCACCTGCTTCTCCCTGCACAGGGAATCAGGGTTGATCTCAGATCTCAACATGTCCAGCTAGATAGTAGTTATATAGCATTTTATTATAGTACTGTAGTACATTCCGATATTACTATATCATATGAATATATTTAATCATATAAAACCAGCTGATAGTTACGATTCCATTTTATAAGTAATGGATATATATATATATATATCAATCTATATATATATAATATGTATGTTTTTTGTAGTGTGCAATAGCGTGGATTAGCGAGTCACAATGATCATCATCTTTGGGATCCAACTATTGCACACAGATACATCCAACATGCCTCGCAGCATCCAATAATAAATGGAGGTGTCCTAAGTCATGCAAGTACCCCAAATAATGTCATGGATGACCATGATTTCGTATTGAAACATATTGAAACCATCAGAATCTTGGGATCCCCCATGACTTAAGAAATCATCAAATAGGAATTATAATCAACAAAATCCAGGATATTCCCTATTAAACCCTATTAATCACCATTAATCCCTATTAATCCTCATTTATCCCTGCATGATCCAACATCATCCAAGCCGGTCCAGGCTTTTCCAGTGACCCCGTCAGCCGACTTCGTCCAACCTTCCGCAGGAAGGTGACGTGCGGATCTTTCAACTCACCTACCACGTGGAAGTTGGTGACCACCTCGGATGGATACGGATTAATATAGGGATGAAGAATGATTAATAGGGATTAATAGGGATTAATAGGGATTAATAGGGATTGATGGTGATTAATAGTGATTAATAGGTGCTCAATGGTGATTGATAGGGATTAGTAGGGATTGATGGTGATTAATGGCCATTAATAGGTGCTAAATGGTGATTGATGGGGATTAGTAGGGATTGATGGTGATTAATGGTCATTAATAGGTGCTAAATGGTGATTGATAGGGATTAGTAGGGATTGATGGTGATTGATGGTCATCTACATGATGTTTGATGGTGATTAACAGTCGGGGGCAGCAGGGATGCAAACAGGGATGGAGGCAGGGGCGGAGGCGGCAGTGAGGTCTGTAGCTTTTTTTCGCACCTGGCGGGGAGAGAGGATAGGATACTATCTAGTTGATTACGGGTACGGACTGGACACCTTACACCGCGCCTTTCTCGCAGGGCTTTCGGGCTGTGGCCTCAAGGCGGGAGCTAGGGTTGGCTGAGGAAGGAAAGGGGTGGTTTCGTGCTAAGGAGCGGACGTTGGCTTAGGAGCTAGGGCCAACCTGAACAGCCCGGGACAAAGACGAAGGACAGAAGACACCGCGAACTACCTCTCACAGGACCCCGTCCCATCCCCCCATCCCAACCTTTGGGTGGGGGCTCAGTCGCGTAGAGCTGTGCACCCCTCCGGCCGGCGCGACCTTTGGCATGCACCACCGGTTCCTGCTCCTCCCGTCCTGACGGTTACGGGCAATCAACAAACCTGGATCAACCTCTCCATTCCGACCTCCACAACCCGACCTCGCCTCCGGCCACTTCCTTTTGTGGCACCCCGGGCACAAGCTCCAACGAGCAAGTTGCCTGGCGCTTTGAAGCCTCGCGCTGCACGAGGTAGTTTTCCTCTTGCAAAGTGGCATGATGATCGAAATGCCGTACAAAGAGCTGCTTCGCCTCATTCTCGTTATCCAGTGCAAAAGTGTAGTTCACGAAGGGATACCCGAGATGGCACGAGAAGATGAGGTCGTCACGGTGCTCGTGGGCGTGGGCTTGGTAAACGCGGTAGAAACAGTCGACCAAGAGAGCCTCCAACCGGTTGGTTGCTGCCGGCTGCATTGCCCAAACGATCATTGGCCGCCTCGATCTCCCGGGCCCTCTTCATCACAGGTCGACTGTAGAAGAGACACAGGCGTCCTCGTCGTATAGGCCCAAGGGATCTGCAGCCGCGTAGAGAGGCCAAACGTCCTCCAGGTGGAGTGCCCCACAAACGCCAAGGAACGGGTACGGCATCGAAAAGGACCTCTGTAGGTTAATGACGTCCCTTTGCCGCGACATTAGCTCCCACAGCTGTGTTGCAATGGCTTTGTTCACCCCGAACTCCGCCTGCAGCCAGTGCAAAAACTGGGTTCCTTCAACCAGGAATCCATTGGCTGCGGTCCAGCCAAGGAACGAAGCGATCCGGAGGCCGATTCCGTCAAGGGACCCTGTGCCTAGCCGGAAGGTGATGTCCTGGAGCTTCCTCAACCGTTCTTTGAGGACAGCTTGGCCCTGCGCGCCTGGCTATAGCATGTTGGCGCAGGCGAGTACGCATTGCCTTGCGGTCCTCATTGGCCTTCTTCTCCAAGCCGTGTAGAACGTTATGGTACAGTCGCAAGAGGTTCGAGGTATGGCAGTTGCCTGGATGCAGATCCCCGTTGGGCGTTCAACTTAGGGTGCAACACCAGGTTTTCATCCCAAAAACCAAATTTTAAGACACGATGAAAAGCTGACCTGACCCCTATTTCTGAAAATGAGAAATCAAGGTACAAAAGATTAAATCCAGTGTCTCTGGGGTATGTTGAAAATCAAAAAATAATGGCACAAGAGATGAAAACAGCAGTGCTCAGCATGTGATTTAAAAACAAAAACTTAAACTATAAAACGAACACTTGCCCGGGAAATCTTCAATCACAGCCTTTTCTTCCCACCCAGTTTCCGCTCCCACATCGTATCAGTGCATTGTTGGCATCGCAAATGCCAAAGCTTTCAACGCTGGCATATCGAAACAAAACTCTTCAGATCCGAGCATGTTCATCTCACACATCCCTGTTTTGAACTTTGCCGGAACAGCTCTCCATGTTACACCACGCATTTGTGCCAACCCATCCTGAACCAAAGCCCCAAAGATACACCACTAAACTTCACATCCTTGGGCCTTAGACTTTCATCTCACACATCCATATTTTGAACTTTGCCGGAGCAGCTCTCCATGTTACACCACGCATTTGTGCCAACCCATCCTGAACCTACCTCCCAAAGATACATCACAAAAGCTCAGACCCTAAGATTTTCATCTCACACATCTGTTTTGAACTTTGCCGGAACAGCTCTCCATGTTACACCACGCATGTGAGCCAACCCATCCTGAACCAACGTCATGACACACTACAAACTTCAGATCCGAGCATGTTCATCTCACACATCCCTGTTTTGAACTTTGCCGGAACAGCTCTCCATATTACACCACGCATTTGTGCCAACCCATCCTGAACCTACCTCCCAAAGATACATCACAAAAGCTCAGACCCTAAGATTTTCATCTCACACATCTGCTTTGAACTTTGCCGGAACAGCTCTCCATGTTACACCACGCATGTGAGCCAACCCATCCTGAACCAACGTCATGACACACTACAAACTTCAGATCCGAGCATGTTCATCTCACACATCCCTGTTTTGAACTTTGCCGGAACAGCTCTCCATATTACACCCCACATGTGTGCCAACCCACCCTGGACCTACCTCCCAAAGATACATCACAAAACCTCAGACCCTAAGATTTTCATCTCACACATCTGCTTTGAACTTTGCCGGAACAGCTCTCCATGTTACACCACGCATGTGAGCCAACCCATCCTGAACCAACGTCATGACACACTACAAACTTCAGATCCGAACATGTTCATCTCACACATCCCTGTTTTGAACTTTGCCGGAACAGCTCTCCATATTACACCACGCATGTGTGCCAACCCATCCTGAACCAACGTTCCAAAGACACACCGCAAAACCTCAGATTGATGGTGATTCATAGGGATTGATGGTGATTAATAGGTGCTAAATGGTGATTGATGGGGATGAAGAGGGGGGTTGATGGTGATTAATAGGGGTTGATGGTGATTGATGGTGATTAATAGGTGCTAAATGGTGATTGATGGGTGCTGAATGGTGATTGATAGGGATTAAAAGGGATTGATTCTGATTAAAAGTGATTAATCGGTTCTAAATGGTAATTGATAGGGATTTAAAGGGGTTGATTGTGATTAAAAAAGTTTGATGGTGATTAGTACGGATTGATGGTGATTAATTGTGATTAACAAGTCTTAAATGGTGATTGATAGGGGTTAAAAGGGGGGTTGATGGTGATTAATGGTGGTTAATAGGTGCGAATGGTGATGAAAAGTAATTTTTCCTGGATGATGTTGGTACCTAACCAACATGGGGTAAAGTGAAAAAGGGTACTTACAAGCCTTAAATGTTTTCTGATGCTTGATCTTGCTGGTATGGCCTGAACAAGGGTGTTCGGTATTGGTGCAGCCAGTGTTGGGGGATGGATATCACCCATATCTGGGGGTGTCTTAGACAACAAAAGTTCGGATACAATGATACAACCAGTATGGCTGCGAGGTCCAAAAACTGCAGAAGGGCCCAAGGGTCAGAATTGGATGGATTCCACCATCCCATGGATGATTTTTGGTATAGGTTTTTGGACAAGCCCAAATGCAGCTAACAAAACAGACCTGGACGACCGGTGGTGTAAAGCTGTGCCTCGGATATGAAGACATATGACATCCTGCCAGGATAGAGTGCAAAGGCAGTTTCAGCTTTTAATATGTTTTCCCTTCCCGCTACCTCTGAGATGTGTAACCAAGGTGATTTTGGTGATTTTGGGGTTTGGTTACCTTAGGTTACCTATTTGACAGCCAATGATTTATGGTGATATCATGCAGCCATTTACCACAGCTAGGCTCTTCAACTGCACCAGCCAAGTGGCATGGCTCGCATCCCAAACGAAGCCTGTCCCTGTTGGCCCTTGAGGAGCCTTGGGTTTTTTCGGGCTGGGAAGCTGAAGATGGTTCAAAAGTTACAAGGTCAGGCCCTCCCAGTGATGTTTGTTGGTTTGTAAACCTACCAGTAGTACCGCACAAGGCGGTGGCGAAAGTTTCAAAAATAGGAAACCTATAGGAGAGGTTGGCTGTTGTGAATCACGGATGGCAGAGCGAATCCACTGATGGACCGAAAGGTGGTTGGAGTTGTGTTTTTTGGAGTGGTTGCAGTGGTTGCAGCGCTCACCTCACCACAACTGCTGGATGTAGTGTGGTGCAGCGCAGTTGTAGTTGCAGTTGTAGTTGTAGTTGTAGTTGTCGTGTAGTGGAGCTGTAGTTGTGATGTAGTGTAATTAGCGTAGTGCAGTTGTAGTTGTGGTGTGGTGTGGTGTAATTAGTGTAGTGTAGTCTAGTGTAATGTAGTGTAGTGTAAAGTAGTGTAGTTGTAGTTGTAGTTATACGTAGTGTAGTGTAGTGTAATTAGTGTAGCATAGTGTAGTGCAATGTAGTGGTAGTTGTAGTTGTAGTAAAAGTAGCAGTTGCAGTTGCAGTTGTAATCATGGGGTTGCAAACCACCCCCTCCCTTACCCCCCCTCCTGAATTATATTTAAGGCCTTATTAGGTATCTATTAAGGCCCTAATAAGGTACTATTTTGTAAACAGAAAAATAATACCCAAATAAGAAGGGCTAAGATAAAATGCTTATTCCAGTGTTATTCCACCTTTATTTTTCCAACAGGATGGCAAGTGGAGAAACAAGTGAGTGAGACCTTATTCCACCCTTATTTTGTGATTCAAGCAAAAGACACCTCGCCGGCCGGTTCAAGTCCGTAATAGACAGTAATGTAATGTAATCAGTGTAGCGTAGTGTTGTGTAATGTAGTGCAGCTGTATTTGTATTTGTAGCTGTAGCACTACCGCAGTGTAATTGGTGTAGTGTAGTGTAATGTAGCGTAATTGTAATTGTAATTGTAATTGCAATTGTAATTGTAATTGTAATTGTGGTGGTGGTGGTGGTGGTGGTGGAGGTGGTGGTCGTGGTCGTGGTCGTGGTCGTGGTCGTGGTCGTGGTCGTGGTCGTGGTCGTGGTCGTCGTGGTCGTCGTGGTCGTCGTGGTCGTGGTCGTCGTCGTAGTAGTAGTAGCAGTAGTAGTCGTAGTTGTTGTTGTTGTTGTTGTTGTTGCTGTTGTTGTTGTTATTGTAGTGTAACGAGTGTAGCGTAGTGTAATGTAATTAGATGTAATTAATTGTTGCAGTGTAGTGTAATTTGTGTAGTGTAATGTAGCGTAGTATAAATATGTATATATATATATGTGTGTAGCTATAGTGGTAGTGGTAGTGTAGTTGGAGTTGCAGTTGTAGTTGTCTGTCTATCTATCTATCTACCTATCTATCTATCCATCCATCTGTCTGTCTGTCTATCTGTAAGTTTGAAAACGAAGCTATTCTGCGAGGCTTCCTCAAATTTTGAACTTGATAACGTCAAAAACGAAGCAATGCCGCGAGACTTCCTCAATTTTTGGCAACAGCAAAAACGAAGCAATTCTGCGAGACTTCCTTCAAGAATGGAAAGTTGAATGCAGAGCTGACGGCCTCGTGCCAATGCGTTTTGCGATTGTTCCAGTCCATGTGTCTATAGTATCGTGTCTGCCACCAAAAAGTGAGGCCAGGTCATACGAAGTGCTGCACCTGTCACACAAAATCATCTTCCCAAAACTGAAGATCTGATGCTCCAAAATGCAAATCCGCTCAGGAAATCAGCGCCCGGACCTCCTAACATCTCTGATGAACACGTCTCTTGTACTGCACCTGCCACGGAAAATGCATCTTTGCAGATCCTCTTCAAATGTCCCGCGCCTGTCAACGCATTTGAAACCGCTACAAAACCTTCACCTTTTGCTCACTTTTGACAAGGTGCACAATCCCTTGCGCCTGCCACGCAAAACGACATCTGAACATCCAACAGTGCTCCGAACATGTGGTGCTTTTAACATTTTGAGTTGGAAATGTGCTTCGCGCCACAACGGCGTGCACTTTTTCGACATCTCAACTTCCAAAAGTGGTCCGACAATGGTGTGTTTTGTGCATTTTGACTTCGAAATGCGCTTCGCGCCACAACGGCGCGCAATTTTTCATCTCTCATCTCCCCAGATGGCTCCGCACCCGCCGCTTTAGCTGGCCTACTTTCAACTGCATCTTCTTTCTTCTCACTCTTTCTCTTCTCTGATCTTTCCTCTTCTGCTCTTCTCTTCTCTGACTCTTCCCACCTCTGCTTTTCCATCTGTCCATATTGTCGGAAGTTTGACTTCTAAACTTCCTTCGGTTGACTCTATATATATATATATGTATATATATATATGTATATGTAGAGATATGTACCGTAAACGACAGTTAGCCAAGTTCTTAGTCAAGTTAGATATCTAGCGGCTACTTGAAGTAAATTCCCGAGAGAGAATCTAGATGATTAATCTAGGAGATGGTAGATGGGTCAAATTTAGGGTACATCCCGCCTAAAAAGAATGGATCGGCATTTGGACGGTTTACTACTAAAATTCACCAGTCAATATGTGTGGGTCACTTCAAAAGGATCCGGCAGAATGGGGTGATTGGTAGAATCAATTGGGAGTTCAGCAACTAAAATCACTCAATTCTTCAAATTGTCATGCAAACATCACATGGGCCGCAATTTGTTTTGTTTAGATTTCCCCCGCTTCTCCCCGCCAAAAAAAATAGCCCGGCATATCAAATTCGCCAGCATTATAACAGAAAACAGTGGGGCCGTTTTGCCCTTCCCATGCCGAATCTAGGACAAAGGCCGCAGATGGGGAAGAACGCTTCTCGCCCACCGTCAGAACCTAAGCTGACTGGTGCCACGAGTTCATCGGATCACCAGGATACCATGGGACACCTATGGATACCCTATTTTGAACGAACATGAAGGAACCCATGTGATGGGTCATAATTGTGTACTAAATACGAGAGCTTTGTCATTCCTAGAATCCAGCAGGGTTTCCAGCAAGGTTTACCTTCTGGTTCTTCAACATAGCCAGGGAAAAGCAGCCATTTGGTTCGATGATTTACCTTCTGGATGGCCATGGCCTCAATGGCTGTGTTAGCCATAACCAGAGGTCGTGGCATCGCTGTGCGATGCTGTCTCATGTTGTAGCCTCTGGCAATTCAACATGGATAGTATCAAATCATAGCTATGGAAAATGGATGAAAATGGTCCAGTCATAGATTATTTACCTATTAAAGATGGTGATTTATGTGATTTTCTATAGAAAACTCTTGAATTACCAGAAGGAAAATGCCAGTTACGGCAACGATAAGACAACTGGAGACCTGTTTGATGGTGGATTTCCGTGCTCGCAAATTCAATCCATGACATAAGGCAGGTGTCAGCTCAACCCAGTGTAAACAAATCACATTCATCATCCCATCTTGATCCATTTTAAATAGAGTAACTCAACATATTTTTTTATCCATCATCCATTTTATATATTTTTATATATCATTTATCAATATTTATCAACCCATTAACTCAACATAAATTGAAACCACCAGCCGCCAAATGATGGCCATTGGATCCCCACCGTTCAAATCATTGGATCCCCGGTGAATTCCCCAAAACTGCGCTTCCCCACACTGGGCGACACTCGTTGAAACAAGGAAGCAGCTCGCAGTTCCTGACACCAACGTTGCGGAAAGACGTTGCGGAACTCGAGTGGCTAAGAGTGGCACTCAGGGAACGGGTATGAAGTGAACATGTACCGATCATCTATCCGTTTTGAGTCGTTTCCCTCTTAACAATATGTGGGGGTTCACATGGGTTCACCCTCAAGGAAAAGCAACCAATCCTGTTGTATACATTAACTTTTCAGTGCAACTGCGTTAAAATACGGATCTTTCGATGCTCCACTGTTGGTTTCACTGATGCATCATCCAAGGTCATGCTAAAGTCAAAACTTTGTCAAGGAATTGACCTGATGTTTAGCCTCTGGCTTCTCAAACATGGCTGGAAAAAAAAAACATGGAGCAAATTTTGCAAGTGATGTCCTTTTCAAAAATGGATAAACCATGAGAAACCTGGGAGTTTTCCCTTGCCAGGTCTCACCTCCGGCATCAGAGCATCTGCTCTTCCGGGGATTGCCTCAACCACCAGGATGGATCATTTCACAATTTGGAGCTGTCGTCAGTCATGAGGGGTACCCCAAATCATCCAAAAGTCTACCATTTTAGTGTTGAATGCCACGGTTTTGGGGATCCAATTGAAGAAACCCCATGTCACATATACCTTGGTATACCTTGGCACCTTTCTTTTGACAACAGTTCATAGCTCGTGTATAGCCAGGTGTTCATCCCCCCCATGAAACCCACAGTCCAATAGGTGGCCTGATCAGCAACTAATGGGGACCTCACTTTGGGGATGGATCAAGATTGGGTACAAAAACGCCCCCCACAAGACTTGAGATATTTTTAGCACAATGACATAATAAGAATTAACAAAACAGAATACATATATATATATATATGTGTATCTGTATATGAACATATAATATATCGTAATATCTATCTTAGGGGTTCATGATTTTAACATAGTTTAACCCATCTTCATGTTGACAACCCATAGCTCCTGAGCTGAGACGTTAGGGCCACGGCTGGGGCTAACAGCCCAGCCAACAGCGCGCGACGTTGCAGGTGCTTGGTCTCACAGCACTGGTTCGAAGGAGCCACTGACTCTTTTTTGGGGGTTCGATGGGGCAAGGCTGGATGTACAATCATTGATATAAACATTAATGGTGATTATTAATGATTGTGATGATGGTGGTGATGATGATGATGATGATGATGATCATGATGATCATGATGATCATGATAATCATGATGATCATGATGATCATGATAATCATGATGATCATGATCGCCATCATCGTCATCACCGTAATCATCGTCATCATCGTCATCATCATTGTCATCATCGTCATCATTGTCGTTGTCGTCATCATCATCGTCATCATCGTCGTCGTCATCGTCGTCATCGTCGTCGTCGTCGTCGTCATCGTCGTCATCGTCGTCATCGTTGTCATCACCGTCATAGTCATCGCCATCATCGTCATCATCTTCATCGTCCTCACCGTCGTCATCATCATCATTGTCGTCATGGTCGTCATTGTCGTCATCATCGCAATCATTGTCATCATCATCGTCATCATCGTCATCATCTTCATCATCGTCGTCATCGTCATCGTCATCATCATCGTCATCGTCATCGTCATCATCATCGTCATCATCATCATCATCGTCGTCGTCGTCGTCATCATCATCATCATCATCATTGTAATCATCAGAGTAATCATGATCGTGATTATGCATGTATGCATATCTTTATGTCACATCATTACATACATGTGTATACAGATAGTCATGATTGATGATGGCAGCAACTGATATCCAACTTGAAATGACTTGACATCGTGTGCCTACGTCCTTGAATTGTTGAGACAAACTGGTGATAGAAGCTGAGTACAGTCGAGTCACAATCCATGGGTAGCACCAGTGTGTTTTTGACCTTAAGTCTCTAAGTCATTCATTGTTGCTTTACTCTTGGTCCTTTTTGTTCATCAGCAACAGCTCCTCATCTTCTTTGGTACATTTCCAAATATTCATTTCACTGAATTCCCAAATCCGCCCACACCGCTTTGGCGGTGAAGGCGTGCTTATTGGGGGGCAACAGCAACACTAAATGCTCAATGACATTTGTTAATATAGCAGTCGCTATATCAGCTTTAGCTGGGGGGGGGGGCCAAAAACGGTTTCGCACCGAGACCAGACCCCAAAAACGGTTTCGCACCGAGACCAGAATGCGGTGGTGTTTTCGACATTTTTCGAGGATTTTTGGGTGTCTGAGCGCAAGAGGGTATTGAAATGGAATTTTGGGTCATTTTGGTAACTTTCCGGCAATGGAAAAACGGCCAAAAATGAAAAAAACATTGTACATAGCAAGATTTTGCAGGGTTTTTGGATGCCAGAGCATTGAAAACACTGCAAAAACAAGTGTTTTGGACTGACGTTATAGCAAAAAACGTGTAAATTACCGTATGCTTGACTGGAAACATTACAAAAAACACTGTCAAAAGCAATGTTTTGGAAGGATTTACTGCCTTTATGGCAAAAAACGTGTAAATTACCGTCTGTTTGACTGGAAACATTGGAAAAACACTGTCAAAAACAATGTTTTGGAAGGATTTCTTATTGAAACTTCTTAGCTTGAAGAGCCCCCACGGGGGGAAACCACCCTTAGCCCCTCTCACGGACCGAAATAAACCTGCGGTGTGGGCGGCCACCCCACGCGAAGCGGGGTGAATCTGTTGGTATGGAGGTTTCCTGAAATAGGGGTACCCAAATAATCAATTTTAATTGTATGTTGCATTATAAAACATCCATTTGGGGATACAGTACCCCCATTTATGGAAACCCCCATATAAGTTCCCTGAAGTTCCCATGCCTCAGCACCCGCGCTGCCTGAGAGAAAAAACCCAGGCGCTTCTCCCAACGAAAATGGTGTATAAAACCAGCCAGTTACGCGATACATGGAAAAATCTGGGAATATTTTATGGGGCTATGGTGGTATAAAGTATTTAGACTGGGGATACAATGGGATTCACTCAACCTGTTGTTTTTGGGAATGCGGATATTCTACATTTGGGGAAAAAAACATGGGTATATCATCAGCGACACACCGTGGATGTGTCTGAAAGTGCGGTATATATGGTATATCCCATCTGGCGAAGGGTTTCTGAAGCCATGACATTCCCTTTTTTTGTCACCCCAAAATAGCTGCTAATTCTGAATGTTCATCCCAAGTAGACTATGAATCATAGGTATTGATGGTAATGATCCATCATATCTCCATCAAATTGTTGATGGTATACCCATAGGTTTTAAGATGTTTTAAGTCATACCATAGCATGTCATGCAATGTGGGTCCCATGAGTTATAGGTTGGTTTATAAGCCCCAGTAACTAGTTATAAGATGTTATAAGTACCATAAACCTGTTGGAGTTATCTGCACCAACTTAGCTATCATGAATCAGCATATAAATCCAATTAAATCTTCATGTTTGCTGGTTAAGTCACCATTTCCCATGGTTTTCCTATGGCGTGAATTCGAAAAGAATAATCGAGGCCTGTGTTCTGCGGCCCCGAAGACCCCGGGACAACGTACAAGGTCTCAGTAGAGCAGCAGACTGTGGATATTGGGACCGTCTGAAGCCCAAATTTTCATGATTTTCATGGAATTCATGGGAAATCCCAAGGGAATTCATGGGAAAATAGGATTTGGGGTCATGAAACATGAGATGTTGAGGCAAAAAAAGGGAAATCATGTCCCAACTTGATCGGAAAAATTGCCACTTTGTAATATCCACCATTTTGAGACAACCCCATTTGGCAAAACTCTTAGTACATCCTCAATAAAGATTTGGGGGGGCACCTGGGTATGGCAGAAAGTGGCAGAAATGTGGCCAGAAAACTAACCATGCGGTACCCATGCGTCAAGAATCCTGTCCGAAAATTTGGTATATCTCAGCACCGAGGCTAGGGAAAAAAGTTTTCCATATCGTTTTCCCATGAAATCAGTGGGTATTTCCCATGATTCAATGGCCATGGAGGAATGCAATGGAATGCCCCAGTCTTAAAAATCTCGAAACCAACGACATGATGATGCAGGTCAACCATGATCAACCCCCTAAGGAGCAGACTGCCCCGAAGCCATAAGACAAAGCCTTGGAGAAGTGCAAATGGATTTGGAGACGAAATTGGGGTTTATCATGGTTTATCACTTTCACATTTGATGCAAAGCCAAACAAAGCTATCGATCGTCAAAACTGGCACGGGCCGGGGCCTCATTCTTTGGGTTCTACTATGTCTATGTTGAAAGGCAGTCTGTGACATTCGTTCTGATTCGGAAAAGCTGAACGCGAGCTGTTTTTTTCTCCATGTTTCGCACCACAGCAGCTTGCGGCTCACATAGTGTTTGCCTTGTGCTGTAGATACAGCAACTGGAAATATATACGTGGAACTCCATGACTTCCACATGCCTTTTTCATCAAAAAATCTAGGAAATAAATAACAACTCTAATAAATAAAATCGTCGAAATTCTATGAAATTCTTATCAATGTCAATGGTTTCACTGACTATCCCATGAATATTGCAACCACCATGTCAGAGGACAGAGGTGACCTGGGTAGAGGAAAATTAGGACCATGCAGGAGTAGTAGTTCTTCTATGCACTCATGGAGAGATAAATAGTTTACAATTTTTAGATGATACCTTGAGATACAATATTAGAATATGATTGAATATGAATAGCAATCCACTCATAGAATCTTCATGTTTATGTTTACTCGTTGTTTACGGTGTATCCATGTCCCAATACACGATCAAAAACACATGTGCATGCACTTAGGGTTTTTGGTCTGGGTAGGGAAAAAAAAAACAAACACACCACAGTTGCTATTGAAGTTCCAAGCTGGCAGAGCTTTCTCTGGACCTGCAGAGCCCTGTCATGCTTAAAGCAGGTTGGGTTGAAACATAGGTAGATCCAACCAGCCTGATGAAAAAAAACTGGCAGTCCAATCTGGTTGAGGCTGGCAGTCAAAACGATGGCGCCTCTGTCAAAACAGCAAACGTCTGCCTAACTATCCACACAAACCTCCGATCAAAAAGGGGTTCTCGCACGCATGTCCGTATATGCATAATGTGTGTATAATATATATATACACATATATATATATATTATATACACACATTATGATATACAGGTGATTACAGGTGTGTCTGAAAATTAGGTACCCTGAAATCGACTGGATAATCATGATACCTCCATGATCAGCTGCATGCCCCATGAGGCGTTGTGAAAATAGCTTGGTATGCTTCAAACATCTTCACACTGTCAAAAATCACGAAACATCATTCAAAATCGTCAAAAATCATCAAAAATAGAAAAGAACATCACCAAAATCTATCCTGTAGGTTTTTGACTCCCAGCAAACCGTAGGGATATTCTACTTTCTCCTCCTGCCGCCGCTGTTCGAGTCATTCTGTCCTCGACTTCTCAGAACCACCTGTTCGCATCGATAGCACAGGTCCTAGCAGGGCGACCCCTTGGCGCCAAGTCCTGATGGGAAACCAGACAGATTCACTCGGTGTTTCCATGACTTTTCCATCGTATCCTATAGGTCCTATACTAGTCGCTGAAAAAATCAAAGAACTTGCAGGGTATGTCCGAAATATTCCGAAATCCACTGGTGAATCATCAGAATCCCTACCCGTCTGAATGGTTAATTCGGAGAAAATCGAGAAGAAAAACTCTTTTCAGACATACCCAAATCATATTGCTGATTCTATATAGCCAACGAAAGGGTTGGTTTTATATCCTATTATTGTTGCCTCATTATATATGTTAATAGATTTTTCCCCATAAAGGGCCATAAAATTGTGAATACATTCTTCATTATGTATAACTATATATATAGTAGTTTACAGTATCTTTCAGTACCCTTATTTAAAACCTAGCTTTTTATTTATTACCCAAAAAAAAGGCAACATGGGCAAAACAATAATATACAATAATAATAAACCATCCCCGAAATCACCATTTTTATAGGTGGTGTGTTTAACCATTTCGAAAAAATGGGTGGTTTATGGCATTGCTTTACCCACATTAATATGGATTTTCTAGGTATGTACAGTAAATGCCCATGTTTGTTAAATCCAATCCCTCGGTGTCAAAATCCCGCCTGTATCGCTTCATAGAGTCGTTGGTCGTCGCCATTCACGATGTGTTCCCCGAACTTTTGCAGCTCGGCCTGGAAGAGCAACGGTCACCAAGACCAAAATGTGATGTATACAGGTGTATAGCCTGTGTAGCTGATAAATTTGCTGGTATCTCGTGATTTTAATGATTTAAATATGGTTGATTTATTGCTCACAATACGGTGATATCCCTTAAAATCTTGGTGTTCTAGATTGGTCGTAGCTAGAATTGTCCACAAACATGCGATAGAACTAAGCTAAAAACATCACGGAACAGATCTGGTTTTCTGCCAAATTCTGCCAAAGGTGCCTTGGAACCCACCGAAGGTGGCAGTCCGGCAAGACCTGCTTCCTGGGTTAGATCCAAATGCGGGAGACACATGACCGAGATCAAATCGTCCAGTGCTTTTTGGCGAATGGCAAAAAAGGGTGAAAAACAACTGGGTCCACAATTTTTGTCAGCTTCTTGTATTCAAGGGAAGATTAGCATATGATAGTATATGAAATCACAAACTGAATCTGTTTGCATTTTTTGACTTTGTGTAAGATGATCAGTTTGCATCCAATTGAGGAATAAATAACTTTGACCTGTAAACGCTCTAGCCCTGTGGGAAAAAAGCGGGACTTTCAGACCCAGCTTCCAACCACTGAGGAAATTCCTGCGCGAAGGCTAATCGAATGTGGTCCTCAGAGCTGCACCAAAACCATCCAAAAGCCGTGGAAAACGATGATAAACCACGGGGATGAAAAGGGACTTGGTCATTTTTCAGACCCAGCTGAGACATCTGCAGACGTGCTGAAAGATGCTGAAAGATGCTGAAAGATGCTGAAAGATGCTGAAAGATGCTGAAAGCTTCACACCCAAGGCGCCAGGATGGAAGGGATGGACTCTTGCACATATTTCGTAGGAACTCCGGCAATGAGTCGGAAAATGGCTTGGACGAAGCTTGGCGCCACCTGAAGTTTCGGAATTCTGCAGGCGCCGCAGTGCTGGGAACCTGTGACATTGAACATGTATCAAATGTATCAACATGGAGGTACCCTACAGCAATGGGAAATCCATGGAAATCCTATCAAAGTGAAGCTGGGAAACTATCAATGACAATGATTTTAAGTTTGGGGTTTTGTTTGCCGGCGGATATACATAAAGTCAATTTCAGACTGCAAAGTGGTGCTCCATGTGTGGAAGAAGATGTCTGCTTTTTCGATAAGATCCTACGAAGTATGAAGGAACAGTGAATGATCTTTCAGTACAGTATAGCATTGCCTTCAAAGACCTTTTTTCAGGCATTTTTGCCCTGTAATCCAATGTTTGCATGTTGGTTGAATCAGCATCAGTTTCATGCCATTCGGCCCCATGGATTCGCACCAGTTCGTCTTACACCACCCATTTGGTTGAAACCTAAAAGCAAAATTCAGCAAACCATCAACGAGAGCTTGGAGGCTCACGAAAAAACTTGATGTTTTTTGGGTTCATCCCAGACTTAAGTCATCTTAAGTCATAAACATCTTCACAGTGGTGATCGTGTCAACATGGCACCTGTAAAGCGTGCGGCTGCAGCATTCGTCCAATATTCGCCTTGGACTCATCCTCAGCGGTGCTGCGCCAGCAACACCAAAAAAGGCTATGGGAAAGGAGCGAAAGAAAGCTTCCCGTATCGACCCCACATAGATTTCATGTGTTCATAGTTTTTTATAGTTGCTTCATAGTTTTCAATAGTTTTCAATAGTTTTCATCATATCAACCCATGTTTAAACATTGAAAAAGCTGTCGCTCTTCGGCATCGAGAGTTATCATCAAGGCTCGAAATAGCGATTGCCCAGCTTTCCAGCCTCTGAAATGTGCGACAGAACAGACTCAATGAAGGCGATGATAGCCTGGTCGCTGCAGGAAATGGCTATGGGGACCATGATTTAATGATGATTTCAGAGTTCAGATGAATATTTATTTGAATATGTTTTTGAATATGTAATTGAAAATGATGAGTTAAAATGAGTTTAGAATAGTTGAGATGATGTACCATCAGGTTTCGTGACATGTCCTTACTTTTTCTACAAACGAACATCATTGGAGGTCAAGCCTTGTTCAACCATCAAAAGCTTAACCCAAACCGGTGAAGCATTTCTGAACCATCAGAATATACCAGATGTATTGGCTGTCAGCATCGAGGGTGTTTTTGGTCCTCCTCATCAGCCCTCACAGCATGAAGGGTGCCAGAAATGATGAGTCTTAAAAATGCATGTGTACAGTGATATACAACAAATCATGAAATGGTGAAAGACAGTGAAAGACGGTGAAAGACGGTGAAAGACGGTGAAAGACGGTGAAAGACGGTGAAATTCCCAAATCTTCTCAGGAAACTGTTCGATGCTTGACATACACGATTCCCCTCTTTCCAGATGCACCCAAGACAAGATTCTGCCCTCAGTGGTACGTATACGACGTACCCCATTTTCCACCCTGGATTGCAACAACCCCAGCCTCGACAGCCTCCTTTTGTTGAACAAAAATTGCAAGACTCCAGAGTTGCATCGTAGGAGGAAGAGTCGGAGACTCTAACCTCAGACCGCTAGGGCCGCTAGGGATTGAAATTGACCCCATACCCCCAACATCCCCCAACTTTCACGCCAAAATTGTTTTTTTGGGGCTGGACCTTCATCCCCTGGATATTGATCCACAGCCAAATATCTCCAACTTCTCCTGTAAAACAGTTAAAACTTGTGTCCATCCACCCTTGACAAGGCTGACAGAGATTTAAAACGTGTTTTTTCGGATGGTTTTGGTGGGAAAACTCGGGAACAAGAGAAAGCAAAAGAAAAAAAACAGTGCAGCTTGAAAACACAATCCTCGGAGCGAATCTCAAATATCGTTCGAACATTCCGAAAAAATCCTCGGATTTGATACATTTGTTGCGAGCCCAGGGATGAATGGGACAACAGGGGACCACCTGAGGCGATCAACGTGCCATGAAACTGGTGGACACCACCATCGACAGCATGTCCCCTCAACAAGAAGTCTTTTTGCCGGTTGAACCACGATTCAAAACATTAAACCAAGGAAGGTAATGTTTCAGAAATGACCCTTCTGCTTCGGCACGCCAGGCACGGCACTGTATTGTCGGAACAAGTTTTTCTCCGAGTCTCCTCCACTAATTCTGTGATTTCCTCCAGTTTGTCTTTGTATTGCATGAGGCACTGCAAGCCAATGCTGCTCAGCTGGTTGAACAGCTCCTTAAAGTGCGGGCCTCCCAAACCTTCCAGTCTTCTCACAGGGCACCAAGGACTCACAATTTCTTGATCATATCAATCATATAATTTGAAATCCATGATAAAACAATGGATTTTTTGGAGGGGTAGGGTCATTTCAACAGGCAGTGGGATCAAAACCAGTGGCTACAGACATTGGATGGTTTCATCAACACAAATGGCAACAGAATCACAAAAAGTTGCATCTAAACATATCTAAACCCACAATTTGTACTATATATACATATGTACTATATATATATAGTATGTGGTTTGATATCTATCTATCTATCTATCCATCCATCCATCCATCTATCCATCTATCTATCTATCTATCTATCGATCGATCTATCTATATCTATCTGATATACCCAGAATGAGGGGCCATCTGTGGTCCCTGTCCAACCGCAGTCGGTTTTTCACCATTCCAAGGCGCGGTGAGCACAGGGACAATTTCAGGATCTTTGGCGTAGGTATGCGCCAAGATTTCAGCAGAATAGAGATACCTTGGTGGACAGCTGATATCATCAGTCACTGGTTGATGGGTTCTATATGGTTAATGATGGTTAATAATGGTTACTATATGTTACTATATTATTATATGGTTAATGATGGTTAATAATCTGGTTGGTGGCAAAACAACCCCTCTGAAAAATATGAGTTCGTCAATGGGAAGGATGACATCCCATATATGAAATGGAAAATAAAAAATGTTTGAAACCACCAACCAGGTCATCATCTAAACTTCTACGCCCCCAACTTCAAATGGTTAGAATCTCAACGCTGGATATTTTGCGGTTTTTTGACACCCTGGCTGTTTGATTAAGGGTGGTACTCACATTTGTGCAGCAGATTTTTGATGATAGTGGCGGTTTCTACCCCAATCAACCAGAGTCCACTAATCCGTGGTCGATCCTAGAGGAAATGGTGAAGTTGAATGAGTCTTTACTACTGAGCCTTGGCAAGTGTTTAAGCTTAAGAATCAACATCTTTAAACCCCATGCGATTGCCAATAGGCTAATACATATTCTGTATATACACATGTACATAGAAAACACTGTGACAAGCGTGCTCTGACAAGAACAACTCTGATTTGCAAGATTTGATGATTGATCAACGTTGATCATCATTTGCCAGTTTACACATGTTTTTTTACCAGGAGACGAAGAGTGCTGGTGCTGTTGAAAGGCCGTCACCAATGTTCGCGCCACATCCGAAAGATTTGGCTTGAAGAGATCTGGCACACAGCGCATGGAATGCTTCAACAAACGACAGCTCTTCTCCACCTCGAGCGTTGCCGCATGCTGGCGCCGGGATGAAAAGCCTGTCAACTTCCACTACCAATGATTGCCAATGATGGATGTTAACTGGAATGTCATGGGAAATCATGGGAATATATGATACCTGTATGATATAATTCTCAACGGATCAATAAGATTCTCCGTTTACGGACAGAAGTTTGAAGGAGCAGGTAACAAGCAATGGAAATGTACGCATCCACGGACAGATTGGTCACCTAGCCAACAAAGGATAGGATGCTCTCTTCATTTAGAGGCACTGGAGGAAGCTGAAAATCACTTCCAAAAAAACATGAGAAAATCCTCCTTTTGACAAACCATGATCAAATCCATCTAAAATCAAGTTCTTCATGTCCGAAAGAAACCAGCATAGGATTTTGTCCACTGTTTTCCACCAGTTACATCCGAGCCACCAATTTGGAATCCCCTGGATGCTGGGCGAGGCATTGTCGGATCACCGGCCAAAAGGTGTTACTGATCAGAGCGCCGACGCTGGCTGCTTTCGCTGAGCCCTCGCGGATGTGGATCTGGCGGATGATGGTCGTGAGCCTGCAGCTGCTTTGCAGCAGCGGAGAATGTGACCCCTTGGGATTTCACGGAGAAAACCTCAAAGGCATCACCAGTAGAGGGTAAATCAACAGGAATGATGATATGACCATTCAGAATGGCTAGTAACTGAAGAACTGGTTTGGCGTTACCCCTTACATGCCGAGCCATCAACCTTCCAGAGTTCGCTGTTGGTAAGGGTCAAACATCATTCACCTATATTCGCCTCCTAAGTAAAGCCTTAAGAATTGCTTATATCAAGCTTTTCCTCATCTTTGCTGATAACGGCTCCCCCAACGTTTCCCCGAAAAATCCCCGGGTCTGCCGGATTGCCTATCAAGGATCTCACTGAGCACATTGGGCCGCTCCCTTTCCGAGTTGAGGCCTTGAACCTGACACCGAAGGCGGCCAAAGTGGCGCCGTTTATAACTAGGTGAATTCTATGGTTTATGGTAGATATGTCTGTAGTTAATGGGTCTATAAACCAACTTATAACGGTGCCTCACCTAGATGATTTGGAACTACAGTTCACGATGTTTATAATCCATAAATATATGGTTACAATCTATGAATCATAAAGTCAACTAGGCTTATAGTGATTAGAATTAATTATATATAATATATACAGGTAAAGGCAGATGTGTTTAACCAACTTATAACACCTTAGGGCACGACACCTTGTGCCATGATCACCATGGGATCGTGGTAGGGTTCTCCATCTCATAATGGGAATCCTGGAATGGGCATGTAAATCCCGATTGATGGCCATTCGCCATTGGCAAATTGCCCAAATGTTGAGCATGGCACATATATATATAACAAATATATAGATACATATCCTGATTGAACAAAACAGAACAAACCTCTATATTTGTGAATGTTGATGAGAAAGTTTAAGGAGATGTACAATTGATTATACCTCGAAACACCATTAAGAATGGCAAGTAGTAGCTAGTTCGAGAATGAAATAACTCAAGAAAGTTGAAAGTTTTAGACTAGAGTTCGCATGTGCGTTCCACCGTACTTCACTCAAGCCTATTGATTCTGCGTCAAAAAGATGGCAAAAAAAACTGCAGAATCTGTCTCCAGCACCCCCAGCATGCACAACTCACAACCACTCCCCAAACTGATGTTTCTTTTAACATAGTTTCCACAAACGCAGCATATCACTGGGGGTGCTAAGCAAAAGCCAAGTCGACCAGCGGTGACACCAATTGCTCCAGACCGGTCCGAAACTGCTCGTCGTGATGAATGCTGGCAACCTCGCGCGTCAACAGAGGTGACAGGTGCAAATCCACTGGAAATTCACCTAAAAAAAAGTGGACTTTTCATTGCCACGTAACGCGAAAGAATATGTGGGGAGGTTCGGTTTAAGGGGATATCTACAGAAACCATTGATTTTTACCACTCAAAAACCGGGTGTTTTAATTGCAGATTTTCCCTCAAAACAATCCATTGAATCAGTCCCAAATTTTGCCAACACTTCAACCTACTGTAGTATTCTTTAATCCGGCACAATGACCTGCACCAGAAATTCCCATCCACGTCACCGAGCTGCTACAGATCCAATGCCATCCACTATGAAGAGATGCATCCGGATGGGCAACGCAATGGTGGTCACGTAGAGTTGAGTCAGTTGCGGCACCAAATCCTGGTGAAAAAACGATCAATGCCAATATGAAACATCATCCAAGACCTGCAAACCATGTCCTTTATATCTTTGAGAAATATATCATAATACATCATGATATAAGATCTACTAATCCTCCATCTTCCAATCAACCCGAATGACACAACTTTGCTTGTCACAACCTGCACCGGAAAAAAAAATGCCAATCAGATTTTCGATCTCCTGCAGATGATGTTTGCCACCCACACAGATGTCTTTGAAGGCCATGGACGCCGCCTGTTGCACCTGCTTGGTGCGTTCCACGATGTTCGCGGGGCTGTTGGGAGGATCCGACGCCAGCAGCAACTGGGAGATCATCTCCAAAGACGATCGCAAGAAGTCCGGACGCGTCTTCACCTCGGAAAATACGGACAGATGCTGGGAACAAGGAATGTGAATATGAAAAAAAAAATGTATCTGTATGTATGTCTGCATGTATGTCTGTATGTCTGTATGCATGTATGTATGTCTATGTATGTATGTCTGTATGTCTGTATGTCTGTATGTATGTCTGTATGTCTGTATGTCTGTATGTCTGTATGTATGTCTGTATGTCTGTATGCATGTATGTACGTCTATGTATGTATGTCTGTATGTCTGTATGTCTGTATGTATGTCTGTATGTCTGTATGTCTGTATGTCTGTATGTATGTCTGTATGTCTGTATGTCTGTATGTCTGTATGTCTGTATGTCTGTATGTCTGTATGCCTGTATGTCTGTATGTCTGTATGTCTGTATGTCTGTATGTCTGCATGTCTGTATGTCTGCATGCCTGTATGTCTGTATGTCGGTATGTCTGTATGTCTGTATGTCTGTATGTCTGTATGTCTGTATGTCTGTATGTCTGTATGTCTGTATGTCTGTATGTCTGTATGTCTGTATGTATGTATGTCTGTATGTCTGTATGTCTGTATGTCTGTATGTATGTCTGTATGCCTGTCTGTCTGTATGCATGTCTGTATGTCTCTATGTATGTATGCATGTATGTCTGTATGTCTGTATGTATGTCTGTATCTATGCCTGTATGTCTGTATGTATGTATGCATGTATGTCTGTGTGTATGTCTGTATCTATGCCTGTATGTCTGTATGTCTGTATGCTTGTATGTCTGTATGTCTGTATGTATGTCTGCATGTCTGTATGTCTGTATGTATGTATGCATGTATGTCTGTATGTATGTCTGTATCTATGCCTGTATGTATCTATGCCTGTATGTCTGTATGTATGTATGTATGCATGTATGTCTGTATGTATGTCTGTATCTATGCCTGTATGTCTGTATGTATGTATGCATGTATGTCTGTATGTCTGTATGTATGTCTGTATGTCTGTATGTCTGTATGTCTGTATGTCTGTATGTCTGTATGTCTGTATGTCTGTATGCCTGTCTGTCTGTATGCATGTATGTCTGTATGTCTGTATGTATGTCTGTATGTTTGTATGTATGTATGTCTGTATGTCTGTATGTATGTCTGTTTCTATGCCTGTATGTCTGTATGTATGTATGCATGTATGTCTGTATGTCTGTATGTATGTCTGTATCTATGCCTGTATGTCTGTATGTATGTATGCATGTATGTATGTCTGTATGTATGTCTGTATCTATGCCTGTATGTCTGTATGTATGTATGTATGCATGTATGTATGTATGTATGTCTGTATCTATGCCTGTATGTCTGTAGGTATGTATGCATGTATGTATGTCTGCATGTCTGTATCTATGCCTGTATGTCTGTATGTATGTATGTATGCATGTATGTCTGTATGTATGTCTGTATCTATGCCTGTATGTCTGTATGTATGCATGTATGTCTGTATGTCTGTATGTATGTCTGTATGTCTGTATGTCTGTATGTATGTCTGTATGTCTGTATGTCTGTATGTCTGTATGTATGTCTGTATGTCTGTATGTCTGTACGTCTGTATGTCTGTATGCCTGTCTGTCTGTATGCATGTATGTCTGTATGTCTGTATGTCTGTATGTATGTCTGTATGTTTGTATGTATGTATGTCTGTATGTCTGTATGTCTGTATGTATGTATGTCTGCATGTCTGTATGTATGTATGCATGTATGTCTGTATGTCTGTATGTCTGTATGTATGTATGTCTGTATGTCTGTATGTACGTCTGTATGTCTGTATCTATGCCTGTATGTCTCTATGTATGTATGCATGTATGTCTGTATGTCTGTATGTCTGTATGTATGCATGTCTGTATGTCTGTATGTCTGTATGTATGTCTGTATGTCTGTATGTATGTCTGTATCTATGCCTGTATGTCTGTATGTATGTATGCATGTATGTCTGTATGTATGTCTGTATCTATGCCTGTATGTCTGTATGTATGTATGCATGTATGTCTGTATGTATGTCTGTATCTATGCCTGTATGTCTGTATGTATGTATGTATGTATGCATGTATGTCTGTATGTATGTCTGTATCTATGCCTGTATGTCTGTATGTCTGTATGTATGTCTGTATGTCTGTATGTATGTCTGTATCTATGCCTGTATGTCTGTATGTATGTATGCATGTATGTCTGTATGTCTGTATGTATGTCTGTATGTCTGTATGTCTGTATGTCTGTATGCCTGTCTGTCTGTATGCGTGTATGTCTGTATGTCTGTATGTATGTCTGTATGTTTGTATGTATGTATGTCTGTATGTCTGTATGTATGTCTGTATGTATGTCTGCATGTCTTTATGTATATATGCATGCATGTCTGTATGTCTGTATGTATGTATGTATGTATGTCTGTATGTCTGTATGTCTGTATGTATGTCTGCATTTCTGTATCTATGCCTGTATGTCTGTATGTATGTATGCATGTATGTCTGTATGTATGTCTGTATCTATGCCTGTATGTCTGTATGTATGTATGCATGTATGTCTGTATGTATGTCTGTATCTATGTCTGTTTGTCTGTATGTCTGTATGTCTGTATGTAAGTATGTCTGTATGTATGTATGTCTGTATGTATGTCTGTATGTCTGTATGTCTGTATGTCTGTATCTATGCCTGTATGTCTGTATGTATGTATCTATGCATGTATGTCTGTGTCTATGCCTGTATGTCTGTATGTATGTATGCATGTATGTCTGTATGTCTGTATGTCCGTATGCATGTATGTATGTCTGTATGTCTGTATGTATGTCTGTATGTATGTCTGTATGTCTGTATCTATGCCTGTATGTCTGTATGTATGTATGCATGTATGTCTGTGTGTATGTCTGTATCTATGCCTGTATGTCTGTATGTCTGTATGCATGTATGTCTGTATGTCTGTATGTATGTCTGCATGTCTGTATGTCTGTATGTATGTCTGTATGTCTGTATGTCTGTATGCATGTATGTATGTCTATGTATGTATGTCTGTATGTCTGTATGTATGTCTGTATGTCTGTATGCCTGTCTGTCTGTATGTATTTATGTATGTATGTCTGCATGTCTGGATGTTTGTATGTCTGTATGTCTGTATGTATGTCTGTATGTCTGTATGTCTGTATGTATGTCTGTATGTATGTCTGTATGTCTGTATGTATGTCTGTATGTCTGTATGCATGTATGTATGTCTGTATGTATGTCTGTATGTCTGTATGTATGTCTGTATGTCTGTATGTATGTCTGTATGTATATCTGTATGTATATCTGTATGTATATCTGTATGTCTGTATGTATATCTGTATGTATATCTGTATGTCTGCATGCACACATGCACGCATGCACGTATGCATCTATCGATCAATCTACCTATCTACCTATCTATTTATCTATCAAACTAACTATCTATCTATGTATGTATCTATGTATCTATGTATCTGTCTATGTATCTATGTATCTATGTATCTATGTGTCTACGTATCTATGTATCTATCTATCTATCTATCTATCGATCTATCTATCTATCCATCCATCCATCCGTCTATCTATCTATCTTTGTATCTATCTTTGTATCTTTGTATCTATGTATGTATGTATGTATGTATGTGTGTGTGTATGTATGTATGTATGTATGTATGTATGTATGTATGTATGTATGTATGTATGTATGTATGTATGTATGTATATATGTATGTATGTATGTATGTATCTATCTATCTATCTATCTATCTATCTATCTATCTATACGTATGTATGTCTGTATGTCTGCATGTATGAATTTATGCGTGCATGCCCGCATGAATGCAAGTTTGTATGTATATATGCATGTATGCATGTATGCATGTATGCATGCATGCATGCATGCATGCATGCATGTATGTGTGTATGTATGTATGCATGTATGTTATACATATATTATTATGTGCGTGTAGTATATTACATATTTGGATTATATATATATATGTATATATCATATGTATTATACATATACGTATGTGTATATGTGTATGTTACAAAAATATATTCATCAAAAACGCTGCAACAAATACCAATAAACATCTGAAAAAGGTTGGTTTGGGGGTAGCTATGTAATGCTATAGGCTATATGTATATAATTTAATCATATATAATATATACCAATATTTTCCAACAATCACATATCTCCCAATATATACCAGGCATGTTGGTATTTTGATATGTGGGACAACTTTAGCAATATCAAGTAATCCAATAGACGTAGACCAATTTCAATGATAGTGATGACTGTGGTCATACCAATATCTATCAATCCCAACATAGTTGTGATACTCACCATTCCAATGATAATAGATTGTAAAAGTACTTTTAAAATCATATGTAATGATAGTATTCTAATGGTAATTGCTGTAAAACAGCAAGAGCAGCAGAAGGACTCCATAGCTGCAATGGCAACGTACCCTGCAGCTAGGTGGCCCATTGCCATAAGTTGCCTTGCAGGGTGCTTGCGAAAGGCAAGGAACAGCCGATGCCAGTAACTCTTTCGTCTAAACATGTCAGAGAACCTATAGGAGTTGATCAAAGGTTTCATTGAGGTGTCCATAATATGGTGGTACCCCAATAGCTGGATGGAAAATCCCAAACAACGATGGATGATAACTGGGGGGTATCCCCATGACTCAGGAAACCTCCATGGTCTTCTCTATGCCAAGCTGCCCAACAGCTCAATGGCTGTCTTCTTGGTGAAATGCAGAATAGCACCCTCCGTGGTCTCTGAGGGTGCTGAGGAGGAAATCAATGGTGGCAGGGATTGAATCAGCTGCCACAGCCTCTGCTTCCCGAAGGCTCGACTCAAATGAACTTTGGCCGGTTTTTTGCGCCATTTAGGACTGGAGACATCGAAATGATCAAACACGACCCAAAAGGCCTTCGTTGTAAAAAATACCCATACAAATCAAATCCAGTTGACACGCTGCCATCTCGAACTTCTGCCCGCGATGCAACCATGGTCAGTACAAAAAAGTGAGCTTCTTGCACCTCAGTCAGCGATTTCGCAGACTCCTGACACGCAAGCCCTTTAAGGATATCGCTGTCAACAGCGCTACGATGAGATGGGCTGTGCAACTACACTGCCTCGGCGCTCTGATAATTCTGATAGATGTGCAAAGATGAGTATCAGACCACCATGCTTGGGTAGTTCCATCATGTTCCATGCCGTTTGTGTGGCCTCACATCTTCTCCACATCTGTCGGAACTTCCACCGAGGAACCACCACTCCTTGCTGCTGTCCACTGAGCAGGCTCTTTAAGACATGCTCCAGGGCGGTGTTCGGTGTCAACACCTCCAGACAATCTTCGACCAGTCCCAGGATCCGTTGTCGATAAGCGGCAATCTCATCATCCTGAGGCATGACTGTGACCTTCCTGTAACCATTCAAGAAAATGTCAATGTGGAAAAAAGCCATGTGTACATCATTTTCCTAGGGAACCAATTGGTTGGGCCAGAACTTTGAATCCCCAAATGCTTAACACTTAACACCTTTTAGAGTCGGCTGAAAAGTACTGAGAAGATATTTCGATCTAGAGCATGAACGAAATTGTCATCCTTCTCTTCACCATTCAACCGAGAAGAATGCGATGTTTGGATATGTTTGGTGGTTTGCCCACACATAATCTCAACGGTACAGACTCGTTCTGGCGCGCTGTGAGGAAAACAAACAACTTGGTGTTGCGTGCAGTGATGGTCACCCATTATGGACTAGCACCAGCATGCTTGAACAATTTCAGTTTGATGGACGCTCGAGGGTAATTGAAAACATTGCTTCGTGATGACCATCAGACTCCTCAACAATCGACCTGAACATTTCTGTGATGATATCCGATGATATAGCCAGATGGAAACCTTAAACGGGCCAGTACTCCTACAAGTCTGATTCGGCGACACTCGTGACGTTCTCCTTAAAACATCAGCCGGTCACTTAAATCAGCTCAGGATCTGCTTGGAAAGGATCTTGGCTGGTGCTTAGTGTACATCTGCGGATGCTGGCACTCAGCAGCTCCCGATACACACCTGACACCAAGTTCTCCCAGGTGACATCCCAATGGACCGAGCGACCGTTTGGACTGAGAAAACCTGACAAAAGTTCCATTCCTATCTTCATAGAATCTTTGATTCCATCAATGAAGATAGGATTGCTGAATTTCCAATTGAATCTTGATAGAATCCTCATAGTGGTCCATTTCTATCCATTTCTCAAATTGCCCCAGGCAATTGAAGGATTGCTGACACGCAGACCCCGCTTCGGGAGAAGCACGGCCACAATCACATCAGACAACCCTGGGTACAAAAAGAAATCCTGAGAGAATCACAAGTACAGGAGCAAAGTGCGTAAGCAGCACATTTTTAATCATTTTTATGTGTCTCGTTGACTCAATTGTTCTATCAGAGAACGTCAATGAAATGTGACAGAAATAAAGTGCATATAAGGAAAACTGATCGAGGCACACCTGATCTCAGGTTCAAAAGGTCATTGTGGAGGCATCGTCACATTCCACGGGAGGGATATGTGGGGAGGTTTTTCGGTGCGAAAGATCCGACTCACTCAGGCACACCAGAGTATGATTAATATGTGTAGTGTACCTGTATATATCTGTATGGGTTTTGATCAAAATTCCTTTATCCGGGAACGGCCATTCTTCGCGAATAAAAAATTTACTTTCGCGAAACTTTCGCGAACTCCATGTATATCTTTCGCGGGGCCCATGTTGGCCAACAACACCTCTTATGAAGATTCGTTCACCACCTGCCAAATTACGCCACAGAATCACGGATCACTTCTTGATAGCCTTTTAAACATGCAGCCTTCTCAGGGCAGATTGTTGCTGACTAGGTTTGTTTGGCAAGGTTTACTGGCCCACCCCCTTCAACATGCACTTTGACTCTCGCCCGCTCTTTCACATAACTTTCGCGGAACTTTCGCGAAAATATCCCTATTCACAGACCCCGGCCATCAGCAGGGGGTGCATTGAAGGAAAAGCGAACACCAGGGGCCTTGGTGTTTGGCTCTCGCAAAGCCTCACTTTTGGAAACTTGGCTACTGCATTTGGAGCCTGTTTCTTGAGACTTCAAAAAGCATCATTAGGCAGTGACAGCGGCAGGTGCAAGGATGTGCTTCAGGACCATGGCGTTTGGCTGTCGCGAAGCCTCGCCTTTGGAAGCTCGGCTGCTACCTATGAAGGGTGTGATTGTCCACAAGCACCACCACACAGGGAACTGAACCAGAACCAAACCGAAATTCTCTAGTGCCCTTCTCCTGCCGGACCCCGGGCGGCAGTGGGTGGCAGCCCTTTACATAATGATTATAATATCCAACTTTCGCGAAACTTTCGCGAAAAAAATGTTACTTTCGCGAACTCGAAAGAAAACTCTCGCGAGGGTTTCCAACATAACATGCACGGCTTTCGCAATTAAAAAATTTTTACAAGGACCTTTAGATCGATCACCGTATGTGTATATACATTCAGTACTGTATATTTTTAGGCCATGTCTTGTGGGGCCCGAAAAGGAATCTCAACTGGCGAGTTCTGAGGTCACCGTGGTTTGCCAAGGTCAGCAGGTCTTTTGGTGCCTTGGAATTGGTCGATCTTCACATCGGTCTCCTTCCAGCTGTGATGGATTCCAAACAAACAACTGCGCTATATCTGGCTAAAGGTACACTGGGGGTCGTTACCTGCAAATTTACAACCATGTCCTTCTTTGCTTCATATGCGCCAGACAAGGTGGTGGAGGTTTGTGAAGGAAATACATCATGGGATCAGAGAGTAACAGATTGGATGTCAGTGCATTATACATACGTCATACGTCTATACATAATGATTTCTGTACATCCAAAAATCGACCCTTCATTGACACATCGGGTTAGCTCGGGTTTTTCACACTGCCTAGTGATCCCTGAAAGCCACAACTTTTGAGGTTCTGGGCCAATCAATATCTGGTTGGTGGTTTCAACCCCTCTGAAAAATATTAGTCAATTGGGATTATTATTCCCGATATATGTAAAAATAAAAAATGTTCCAAAACACCAACCAGATATATTATGGTAGAATATGGTAGACGCACTGGAGGCACAGTCATCCCCAAATGAGGGAAGGCCAATGACCAATTTAGTCGTCAGACTCGGTTGCTTCTTAAGCAATCATAAAGCCTGTTGTTTGTTCCGTCTCCGTCTCCATCTGAATTCTGGCACCCCCCCTCCAGCAACTCCCAGACAAGTCTCCGGATGTCGGCAGACTTCATCGGCCAGCCGGTGCCAAAACTCTAGAGGTATGGAGCCTCAGCAAGCCGTTCAGCCGGATGAGTTGCTGAAACCCAATTTTGAGTACAGGCATCTGGGCGTGTCTCAAAATTGTGGTGTATTATGCCCCTCTTAACCATCACTTGAATCTCTTAAAAATGACCGATACGTTGGATTCCCGCAACTGGATCATGGGAAAATGTACAGGAAATCTAATTGTTTTTCCGGTTTTCCTGTACATGTTCCCATGATTTCCGGTTGATGAAAACCCATGGTTTCCAGTGTTGATGTTCCCTTACCAAGGGGCTGATCTCCTCGGACGACAAATCAGTGCATCTCAGGATCACCTGCGATGACACTGATGGAAAAAGTGTATCAGTTGGAAATCCCAATGCCAGGAAAACCTCCATTTTTTGGAGAATTGTTCGCCATTTTAATCCATTTTATAATATTTTATAATATGTTATAAACTTTAAGCAGCTCTGGTGAGTCACTGGGGATTGTTGCTGGGTTTACCACATTGTCAGTTAAGAGGAAGGCTGTCCCCTGCATCTGAATCAGTCCAAAATGGCAATTGTATGGCCGTTTCAAAAATCTCAGGGGAACATTGTGATCAACCATCTGGCTTTCCACACGATGAGAAATCTACCGCATTGCATCCTGTGGGGAGCAAGGAACGAGGTTCAGGTTGTGAGCCGAAAAACAAACCAGGGGTGCCACGGTGCCAAGGGTGCCTTGTGCTACGATCACTGGGCGGCCTTCCATCGTCTCGATCTTGAAGCTTCTCGAAATTGGATTCTGTCCAATGCTCATGCCAGAACTATGGGTCTTTCATCCTTCGTAAGCTCTGCCTGGCTTCATATTTCCTCCGGTGTCTCTGAGCCTTGTCTGTGGCAATGCGGGGAATACAATCCTGGTTTTTCCCATCTGGCTTGGGGCTGCCCCTGTCGTCCCAACGTTCCCATCTCGCTGCTGCCTGTGCCAATCCCTCTGGTCCCACCACGGTGGCGCAGCGGCGCCACAGGTCACATTTCGGATTGCACAGCTTGCCCCCTCGAGAAGGGGGGCTCGAACGCTGTGAGAGCGATGGCGCTACTTGCAGTGCAAAGTGGTCTCTCTGCCTTGTGCTATTCCTGCATTGTTTTTTAAAGAGACTTTTGCAGAGACTGACAACCAAGGCTAGATCTCCGGACAGTCTGTTTGTCGGCTGCATTCACATATGCAGGCTTTGAGGATGTGATCACAGTGTGAAGGAATGAACAGCTGGCGCATTGTACACACTTGACTGCCCTGGAAATCTTGTGCTTGAGAAACTAGCGGTACCCTCCAGGCAAGCCATTGACTAATGGTGGCGCACCTTCCGTACCACCTTTGTGAGTTCCAAGGTAAACTGTTACAGACATGGCCAGGGGCACAATGAGAACTGACATCGTTTTCGTCTCCTGTCCAAGAAAACTGAACATGAGTTTGTCTCAAAATGCAAGTATGATGATTAGCAACTGGATTTTTGGTACCCTATTTTCAGATAAACTCACATCAGTCACTATGATATCAAAGCTTGTGCCTATGCCAAAATATCTGTTGCTTTGGATCTTCGTCCCAAATATTCATGGTCGAACACTAAAAAAAAACTGCAACCGCCGTTAAATCGTGATAAATCCCATTGAAATCCCATTTCCGACTGTTCAATCCCATTGAAATCCTAGATTCCTGATGGTTACCATCTGGTTATATAACATAGCCATGGAAAATCACCATTTAAAAGAGGTAAACCATCTATTTCTATGGGCCATTTCCCATGGCTATGTTACATAACCAGAGAGTACGACTCGATGACCTCCAGAATGCTCACGATCTGCGCATCAGCGCATTGGGTCATGACCAGAGGCACCAAGCATTCTCCAACCTGCAAAATGGTTGGAATGTCATCATTCAACCCTGATTTTCGCATCCAAACATATCCTAATTTAGCTGGTGTTTAAGATATTCATCCAACATTCATCCTGTTTCAAACGATTGGAAAATGGAAGGCTTTGACTCTCGTGCGCACCTCAACATATATCCGGCAGATCTGCAGAATTCTGTCTTCTTCCTGAGATTGAACAGGGGCAAAGCCTTAAACTTGGGACCTTGGGGCCTTGGGGAGCCCATGATCCCGAACGTCTGGAACCTTCCAGCCGTTAGCTCGGCCAAAATGCTGGGACGGCTGACTGAGGACATGAGAATGAAGCTATGAAGAACATGTGGATTCCAATCAGAATTACACCAATTTCTAAATGCTGCCCGGGTCTCCTATCAAAGTGGTAGTCAGGACATGAAAATGGACTGACACTTCTGGCAAATGTTTACTTCTTGGCGGTTCCAATGCTCTGATAAAGACTTGTCAATCGGGATATCATCCCATTAAATTGGACAGAGAATAAAACATAAATAAATATATGTCAAAGACCAACCAGTTTTGATTATATAATCATGTCCTATCCAACGACATCCATGAATGACTCATGCCGCTTCTGTCGCTCTTGGATCCGATGCTTCAACTTCGGGACCCAGAGAAACCGTGCTTGACGAACAATACTCAAATACTGTAGCACGATTTGAATATACTTGGACACTGTGTAGAACATGAGCTGTTGATGTTCAAGCATGTTCAAGCGTCATCGTTGAAACTACCAAAGGAGTTTGCAATCCCTTGTATGATCATCAATCAATGTCCACTTGCTCCAACTTTCAAGGTGTGGCAAGAGTCGCTTTCCAGAGCAGCCTCGACTCCACGACTCAGAAGTGCTTCAAACCTCGCTTTTTTGTTGTCACGGGAAACTCTGGATTTGAACATCTCAGACTGTGAAAGAACTTTGAAATTACAGGACAAATGATAGATGAGGGAAACTGTTCAAGAATGGCATGCTGTATAAATGAGTGCCACTTTTCGCTTGGTTCGTTTTCCTTCATGTCACGCTGCGCCAAGTGGCTTAGAGCGGAGGCCACCCAACTGGCTCATGATCACCTCAACAGAATGTTGCCCTATTCCCAACTCATGGAATCAGCTTTGAAACAGTGTTACACCGATTCGAAAAAAAAAAAAAACATAACTAGCTAGCCAAAAACATCAACCATCATCAACCATCATCAACCATCATCAACCAGCATCAACCAGCATCAACCAGCATCCAGCCGTTCCACTTATCCCAAGTCACATGAATCACCGGCTGGTACAAGTTGATGTCAGGCGCGCACATGCGCAAGACCTCTACAATGATGTCTGTGGCGGTTTCGCTCAACTCTCCGCCCTCCACCACGTGCTTGAAACACTCTGGGATCAACGGGTTCTGCGCAATATCCTGGTTGGAAGAAAAATCAGACGGGAATCGCGCCGAAACTGTCTTTAGTCATCTTGAATCTTAGATCATTTGCAATGGAAATCAATGGAATACATTCTTAAATCCATTTTTGAGGCTACCCAGATTTGACGCTGTGGAAAGAATAGGTTGTCACCATTTTCGGATAGCATCAGTACAGTAGATGGACAACTTCATCAACCCCTGGCGGCCCTGGCGGCCATGCTGAACGAACACCTACGGTAGGACTAAAGGCTTGCAAGTCATCATGACCACCGTCTATGCTATAGGAAGCTCAGACTGTCTGGACGTATGCCAATCACTCCTCCAAAAGCAAAAAAATCCATCAAGTCTGCTCTGCATGTTCCCCTGCAGTGTCCAACGATGCTTCATTTCTCCATAGTATCTTCAACTGAAGCTGTTGGCAAACAAAACAAAAAGCGCTGCCCAATGCGTTTGGCGCCCAAGGGTCTGAGGCTTGTAAGTTGGTATACTTGATCCAGCTTAAAAAGCATTCCAAAACCTGAGCTCTGTGGATGGCTCAAGTCAACGAACATATCAAAGGATCTGGCTGAGTCTGGAAATGAGGTGGTCTTAACTTGATTAAACCCCCAGTTATGTTGTGTCCATGTTTGTACGGAAAATTATTGTAGTGAAAATTGTGAAGAACCGGTGGATTTCTCACTTCAAACAGCAAGTTGCTGAATCTTTTGATGGCAAACATCAGCTGAGAATCAGCTACGCGCCCCACTGGAAGGAAGACGATCTGTGACCGATCTGGGAGACACTCATATGGAGAGCCATCCAAAGGCTGAAACGTTCCATTTCATTCTCCATTATGCTGGTTTGTCGGTGTTGATTTCATTGATGTCTACTTCATGGATTATGATAATCCATGATAATAAATCCCCCAATCAATATCGGATAGCAGAACTTGACCCACTATTGTCCACAGAAAACTTCTCGAGATTGTTGCCTGGCAAAACTATCATTACAGTTATCATCATAATCATCATAATCACCAACATCATCACCATCATCGCGGGCCATCATCACCATCATCACCATCATCACCATCATCACCATCCTGATCATCATCGCGATTGTCAGAACACTCAATCGCCATCGACAGCATCACTTTGGAAATCATGTGTTCTCTATGGCTCTTGGGGGTGGCCATCTATGGTTGGCCCAGGCACTTTCCTCCTCGCTTGCATGGTCGGGCATTGCAAGTTCAGGAGGAATTGGACAACTTGAGGCGTCGCCGCTTGTAACCTTTGGCTACAGCTCTCACGCTTGAAGCTGTCTGTCATCAGCTTGTAGTTGTTGTTCTCCTCAAATCGGGGCCAAAAACGCTAGGGTTTTGGGATCTGTGTGGTTTTCTCTGCATCTGCTGGTATATGTGGTGCAACAGAAGCCAGTGACATCTGCAGCTTTCGATGATTGATCAACCCGCAGTACCAAAGATGGCGAGTTTGATCATCCCAGGTACTGTAAGGATTCAAAAGTTATGAATGAATACTGACATACATAAATGATCATGAATGATGTATACATGTTATATCGGTTATCAATATGTATCATATGTTTAGTGTAATTGTGGCTATTGTCGAGGCTCTTGTAGATTCTAGATGTCTGAAACTTGAAACACCCATGAGATTGAGTTGGTGATGTGTGTGCACACCTTGGCAAACCATACCTGAAACAGCTCCAAGTTGATCACTACTGGGTGGTGTCACTCTTGAACCTACAAGATTCAAGTTTGGTTTCGAGATGGCTCCATGTTTGGTATGGCTATCATAGCTCTCAGCCCTTATATCTCTGGTTGATCAAAATCAGTACCTTTCAAACCTCACAAAAGAATTTGCCACCTGCACATATCGCTGAGTGCAACTATCCCAATGTCCAAGATTCTGAGGGTCTCCAGGGTCTTCCCAAACAAACGGCCTTTGAAATCTTTTAAACAAACGGCGTTTTAGACAATAAGCCGCCCCCAATGTGAAACGTCTGAAAAAACTGTGTCCTCTGGCAACATCCGGACAACCTCCAGGAGCGTTGGATAACTCTCAGGACTCTGCCCGAAGCGTTGGAACATGGTCTCCACGGCATTTGGCCAAGCATGGTCCTTGCCGCTTGGACAGTTCGAAATGGGGTTGGAATCGTTCCTAGGCCGTTACATAATGGGTTCTGAGATTTTTGGTTGGAATCCATAGATTTAGAATCAAGATAACATGTCACACATATTGTGGAACTGTCTAGGTACATGGACACGTGATGACACATATGCAGGTCTATAGATACAAAGATTCATAAAAAATATTGGAAATTACTTCATATGAATCTAGAATCTATATGTATATGCATACAGTAGATCAACATGACATTCAGCATCCCTCGAAGTCTTGACTCATTGACCATTCCCTGAAACCGCAAGCCCCTGATGCAAGTGATCCCGGTCCATTTGAATTGCCAGATCTGCTAGAGCAATCGCCAGCATCGTGTGGATGGGCTGATGCTCATTAGCTCGAAACCTGCCGAAATAAGTGGTGTTGGGCTAGATGGTGTTGCAGCACGCGTTGTCAAGATTCATCTTTGAGGGAAAAGCCCAGTACCAAAGGCATGCTGGAATCATCTACGGCCAGGTACAGTTGGATGTACTAGATCACATCTCCATATATCTCCAGTATATCCCCATGTATACATATATATAAGATATAATATGTAACTACATATCTCGAATACAATACATATACATATATAATCAGTTATAATCATATCTTATACATAAACACAGTCTCTATATATATATGTATATATATATATCAGCGTATATCCATCATTCAATTCTCGTAAATGTATCTACTTGGCCCAGCCCCCAGTTGCCCTGGGTCACCACTGGGACCATTTGGGACGATCAGGGGGGATGACATCCAGTGCTCATTTAGACTATTTGAATATGAAAACCACAGTACCAGCGGTTTGACCCCATAACTATCCATAACTATATATTCATAGATATATCAGATATTCATAGATATATCATAGATATATCATAGATATATTCATAGATATATTCATAGATATATCATAGAAATATCATAGATATATTCATAGATATATTCATAGATATATCATAGATATATCATAGATATATTCATAGATATATTCATAGATATATTCATAGATATATTCATAGATATATCATAGATATATTCATAGATATATTCATAGAAATATTCATAGATATATCATAGATATATCATAGATATATCATAGATATATTCATAGATATATTCATAGATATATCATAGATATATCATAGATATATTCATAGATATATTCATAGATATATTCATAGATATATCATAGATATATTCATAGATATATCATAGATATATCATAGATATATCATAGATATATCATAGATATATTCATAGATATATTCATAGATATATTCATAGATATATTCATAGATATATTCATAGATATATTCATAGATATATCATAGATATATTCATAGATATATCATAGATATATCATAGATATATCATAGATATATCATAGATATATTCATAGATATATATCATAGATATATTCATAGATATATTCATAGATATATCATAGATATATCATAGATATATTCATAGATATATTCATAGATATATTCATAGATATATTCATAGATATATTCATAGATATATCATAGATATATCATAGATATATTCATAGATATATTCATAGATATATTCATAGATATATTCATAGATATATCATAGATATATTCATAGATATATTCATAGATATATTCATAGATATATCATAGATATATTCATAGATATATCATAGATATATCATAGATATATCATAGATATATCATAGATATATTCATAGATATATTCATAGATATATTCATAGATATATTCATAGATATATTCATAGATATATTCATAGATATATCATAGATATATTCATAGATATATCATAGATATATCATAGATATATCATAGATATATCATAGATATATTCATAGATATATATCATAGATATATTCATAGATATATTCATAGATATATCATAGATATATCATAGATATATTCATAGATATATTCATAGATATATTCATAGATATATTCATAGATATATTCATAGATATATCATAGATATATCATAGATATATTCATAGATATATTCATAGATATATTCATAGATATATTCATAGATATATCATAGATAGATATATCATAGATATATCATAGATATATCATAGATATATAGATATATCATAGATATATCATAGATATATAGATAGATATATCATAGATATATCATAGATATATCATAGATAGATATTCATAGATATATCATAGATATATCATAGATATATCATAGATATATCATAGATATATATCATAGATATATATCATAGATATATTCATAGATATATATCATAGATATATTCATAGATATATCATAGATATATCATAGATATATCATAGATATATCATAGATATATCATAGATATATCATAGATATATCATAGATATATTCATAGATATATTCATAGATATATTCATAGATATATTCATAGATATATCATAGATATATTCATAGATATATCATAGATATATTCATAGATATATATCATAGATATATCATAGATATATCATAGATATATCATAGATATATTCATAGATATATTCATAGATATATCATAGATATATTCATAGATATATTCATAGATATATCATAGATATATTCATAGATATATTCATAGATATATCATAGATATATCATAGATATATCATAGAGATATATTCATAGATATATTCATAGATATATCATAGATATATTCATAGATATATTCATAGATATATCATAGATATATCATAGATATATTCATAGATATATTCATGGATATATCATAAATATATTCATAGATATATCATAGATATATCATAGATATATCATAGATATATCATAGATATATCATAGATATATCATAGATATATCATAGATATATCATAGATATTCTATTAGTGCTTGATTAAATTCTTGATGCTTTAACCGACGACTTTTTCGGGCCTGTCGATGTGGTTGAGCATCGAATCCCTGAGGCTCCCATAGCTGTCAGCGGGCAGCTCGTAAAAGTCAAACTGAACTTTCGTGCGAATCGTTTGCGCAGCCTGATGAAAGGCCACTGACTGGCCACTGATTTTTTCAATGAAAATGGTGCGGAGCGAAATTTACGGAGGATGTTGAACTGGGTCTGAGATGATGAGAACAAAGAAGAAACAAAAAGTAAGTCGAAACATGTCAATCCCACTGAGCTTTCAGACATAGTCACATAGTCGAGCAATGTCAATCAGTTGAAACATCTTGAAACCTGATCTCTTTTTGTTCCGCTTTTTCCTCCTGCTTTAAGTCTTCACAGCTCGGCAGCATTTGAAGCTACGTAAGAACTGGGGTTGTAGCTGGGAAAAAAGAAACAGGAAAAACAAGCTGTTGAAAGAGAAGCCGTAGCGTGGGGAAAAGAAAACATATGAAACAGTGACAACAGATCCAACTCCTACTTTGCTCAACCACATGCATTGCTGCTGCAACTTCTAGGTTTACTCAACGCTGACTATAAGCAGCAAATAAGCAGCAACATGAGCATCAGGATCAGTAGAAAGCAGCAGTAAGTAGAAGAAGAAGGGCTGGAGGCTGGAGTTGACAAAGACTGCAAGTCAACGATAATCATACAAGTAATAGGAGATACAAACCCAATATTCAATAATAAATCATCCCCCAATTAGGGCTTATTACTGGGTTTACCACATTACAAAAACTACAAAGGACCATCCACATCCAACATCCAAATCATCCGACCACGTCCGGATCTTCCGGAAAACCTCCCGTGAAAATTGAGATTCATTTGGCACATAGTAATCCCCAAACAGATAGAAAAGTATAAATATATATATATATATCCTAAAATAGTGATGATTTTACTCCTAAAATAGTGATGATTTTACTGTACAAGTATCTTTTTGGGGGTTACTATAGGTGATTTGCAGGGTGATTTGCAGGATTGAATTTGTTCATTTCCCAATCCGAAAGTGGCGAAGATTGCAATTACAGGGCACCTGTATGTGGTCTCAAGTCAAGCCATGTTGCGAAGAAACGAAACTGCATGGGCGCGTCCTCACTCTGGAGCCACTGGCATCAAATCAAACACAGGTACATCGCAAACGTGGGAAATTAAAAAAAGAAACTACTTCAGGCTGGAAAAAAAAACGCAATGCTATACCAACCGATTACCAACCGTCCTCAAAATGCGGAAAATGTATCCACAATGTAGAAAACCATCAGGTGCAGATCTGTCGAGGACACTTGCACGACAACTTTTCGAAAGTTTTGTAGCACGTGATCCAAGCTCCAAGATTTGGCAAAATATTCGCCCTACATTGGACCCTGCAACAAGAATCAGCACAGAAATGTGTTCTAAAGGACCTTCCACATCTTCCACTTCCAATATTTGAACACCTTCCCCATCCATCTGGAGCAACGATTTAGGGATCCTTCGCCCCGATCCTAGCCATCATTCCAGTGACCTCGCAGCCGGCCGCAACATATGTCATCCATCATTTTTTCCCCATTTGGAGGTGTCCTAAAATAGGGGTACCCCTAGTTATCATCCATTTAAATAGGCTTTTCCATTTATAAACCATCCAGCTGTTGGGGTACCCCCATGACCTATGGAAACCCCATTTCTGGTGAAATACCCATCATATCCGGCCCCCCATGTTTGAGGACACCGGATGGTCCAAACTATATCATATCCAAGTTGTATCCCATTAAATCCCACGAATTCAACTAATTCCCCCAGTCTACCCCATTGAATTGGTTATATGTCCACATATATATATAATAAACGATCCATTTCCGGCTACATCTCATTAAGTTGGTTACTATGTATATATATATATATACAGACCCCATTCAAACCCCATGAATCCCCATTACATCCCATTACGTTGGTTATATATCCATGTCCCATGAAAATCCCTCATTGTATCGAGATCCATCCTCGGACTCGAAAACTTCGGACTGACAAGTCTCTGATGAGCTCAGAAGCTGATCTGAAACTTGCCAGGCTGCAGGTGTTTGCTGAAACTTGGTGAGCCATTCATCTGCTTGCCTGGATGGAAACTCAAAACCCATGGAAGCCCCTGCTCTTCACCTCATAGCTGGATTAAATGGATCTTCATCTCCTATTCTAGTATGGTATCTAGTATGGTATTATATGTGTTGATCCATTCTCATAGACCAATGGTTTCCCACAAACCAAACATACATCATGGACACTAGCCATACTGTCTGGGGGAATTGTCAATGGCAGCATCTGAGATGGAAAAAAAACAGTCACATCCAGACTCTAAATTCTACGTATACTTTTCGGGCCTTCGTGCTTTCCAAAATGTTGCACAAGAACCGTCAAAAGCCCTGGTGTTAAATGTTACTGAATGATCACCCGGTGCAGAAGCCGGTACTCGGAACATCCAAATGATTCCATATGTATATAGAGATCCAACATCACCATTTTCTTGTAGAACCAAAATTTTATAGCATGTTATAGCCATTTTGTTATAGCCATCATAAGCTCCATTAACTATAGTTCATCATACAATGAACCACAACATGGCTCCACAATCTGCGCAGAACAAGTGTCTTCTTGGTCGTTGGATCGGTCTCCGAATACAGGGCATGCAGCGCTGGCAGTGCTTGTTCCATGGTGTCCGACAGAGGATCGTCCCGAAAGATGGGGGGTTGGATGTTGAATCAAGAATATATAAGAAATATATCATCCATAATCTAGAATCATAATCATGATAATCATGTTGGATGTTGAATATATATAATCATGATATACCTTAAATATCCTTAAATCATCGGCATACAGTATATGAAGGTATATAAATATATACATGGGTTTGTCTGAAAATAGGGTATATTCCCAATTATAGCCATTTAATAGGGATAATGATCATTAACCATTGGGTTTAGGGGTACACTATTTTCAGACACACCCACATTACCTTTTAGACCACAACAGTCTTCTGTTCCCTGTCGATTTCTCGTCCGGCCAAGCCCTGTCTGGAGTGCAATGGCTTCATCCGCTGAGTGTTTCCATAGTCACGGGGGATCCCCGATAGCTGGATGGTGTATAAATGGAAAAGCCTATAAAAATGGATGATAAAACTGGAGGTACCCCTATCTTAGGAAACCTCCATATGTTGTTCTTGGTCTGTTTGTGATTGGTATATAAGTCGTTGACTCTGTTGACGTGACATGTTCTGAGCCGATATTTAAGACCTTCTTCCATGGGTTTTGTCACTTTGACAAATGGCTGAAAGGACCTTGAACGAGGCAGTTGCACCATCTTTGGTCCATTAAAACACATCATCTTCCTGACCCCATGCCAAGCGATTGCGCGCTGGTCGATCCACATGATCAAAAACTATATCGCAATATAGATATCGAAAGAATTGGATCAGTTAGACATAGAGAGCCTTGATCATCTCCGGTTTGGGATGGTTCAAAGCTGAGGCCCCTTCTACTGCTGCAATGGCAACAGTGCAGCACTTGGAGAGCCTGATACATTCACCCTCGGTATACTGGTTGACTTCAGCATTGATGTAGTCATTGAATCCAAAAATCAACAATCGTACCTTGGTACTTGGCACCTGTTCAGTTGTTTGCAAGTCGATGTTGCAACCATTTGTGACACCAACGGCCCCAGTGACTGACCACAAAGGGGGAATGGTGGTTCCACGATCGAATTAGCGTCTTTCAACACACCCTGAGTTTGGAAACATCCAACAGTGACAAAGGTCTGTAGAATTGTATCACCTTCCATATTTATCCAATAATTAGGTATATCATATTATGTTGTATTATGTTATGTGTTGTTATGTTATGTTGTATCACTTTAATTAAAGTATTACACTATAAATATATGTGTGTCTGAGTGTGTTATGATATAATATCATACCATGTCATATCATATCATAACATATCATAACATATTATATACATATTATATACATATTGTTGTATATTATAGCATATTATATCATACTATATTCTATGATATCATACTATACAGTATCATTCTGAAAATGGTGCATCCCGAAACCATTGGTTCCAATACTAACATATTCTAATATATTCTAATTTTGGATAATATGGGTGTACCCCATGTTTGGAAATGACCATATATTTATGTATACACCTGATATTTCCTGGTGTTTTCACCATTGTTGCTGCATACATCCTTACTTTCTTGCACTGCCTCTGCCTTCGGCTTGCCATCTCGCCTGGGTTAAGGAAGCTGGGTCAAAAAAACATCATGACTGGGTGCTTGAACAAAGTTGAACAGCAAGAGTGGTCCAAATCTGGGTAGTTTTGGGAATTGATTGATATCTCCATGCTTAGAGCAAAGCTAATGCGGGTATGCCTCAAAGTTGGGTATTGAATAATCAGAGATGGTTTCGGCTCCAAAAAAAACCAGTCCACCTGGGGCCTGCGATCTCCAACCATCCCCAAGCAGTGCCTTGGAACGTACTTGGACAGCAGATTCTGCTGTCGGGCTGAGTTGCACTAAAGTTTGATTTCAGTGTCGCTGGTTGAATCCCTGAGATTTGTGAGCTATCCGTAAAATGCTGCTGAAGGAAGAGAGTTTTGAACCTGGCAAGTCACAGACCTTTGACGTGCCAACCATAACTTGAAATCTGAGAAAATTTCTCAGCGTCGTGTGATGTTCAGCAACCAACTCAAGCCCAAAAGTGCAGCAACGAACACCCAAAGACTGCATAGTTTGAACAGTCATATACCTTTTCAAGCTGTTGATGGTCTCTGACCGCCGAACCCGGTCCCCAAAACATTTCGAGAAAAACCCAGACCCTGGAAGAGTTTTTCAAGCGAGATGTTTGGCCGCTTCGACTTTGGATGCGGATCTATTTTGGAGTGCAATGTTTTAGCACTCAGTGAGACTTACGTAGGCATATTTCGAACTTGAGAAGTAGGAAAAGAAATTGGGAATTAAATCCATGGTCACAGTCACAGTGTGTTGAAATCTTCAAGGGGCAAGCATAATGGGATTATATACTGACTACTGCGACCTTCCCTGAAATTTCTAAATTGAGAGTGACTGGTTTGTGTTCCAATAAATCGTAAAATCAGTGCAAGCATAATCCACTCAATCGCTAAGTAAGTGTTTGAAAATGAGATATACCATGGTATACCCGCGAAATGGCCAGCAAATAATGGCGAAAATGAATTTTTAAACCATCAAAGAGTTGTTCACCAACATTTTATCTCCAACATCTATCACATTTCATCCCAATTCTATTCATTGTTCATGTCCATATGAACCCATTTTCATCCCAGACGTCCCCAAGTTCGACTGCCGCTATGAACATCCAATCTCACTAACCTGGCTGTGGGCCGCAAGGTTATGTAAGTAATTGATCTACGATCAAAATATCCACTGCCCAAAGTCATATGAATTGAATTCTTGACGAATATGTTCAAGAATCCAACTCCAAAGTCAGGGTACCTTTGAGCCGTAGACAAATTGCCATTGTGTGTGAACTGGCGTCGTTCCATTGGGTGTGGGTTGCTTGAATTTCATTCACCCATACCTGGGTGGATCCTCCATCCTAACCATCATTTAACAGGGACATCAGCCCGTCAGGTCCATATCCTATTGTATCCCCAAGATATCCCCATTATGGTTGGTTAGTTTCATACCCCAAAATCCATTAATTGATCCCATCGCCCCAATATCAAACACTTCCCAGAAACCGTCTAGAAGGGGGATTTACACATATTTGGGACCATTTGGGGGTTGTTTAATATCGAGGGAATGGGAATATCTGCAATGCCTAATTTGGCCTACACGACCACGACCACTCACAGCTCATGTTCTTACCCCAGCCTGTGTATAGAGTGGTGAGAGAGGTGCAGGGTATGACAGCATCACAAAGCCCTGCCATGTGCTGCTGGGTGGTGGGGAGTGTCTCTACTGTTGCCGGTTTATTGGGTAGAGTATCTAATAAGTAGCTAGTATAGGTGCGGGATATGACATGATGTCGGCCTATACATTGATTGATCGTCATAAGAGAATGAATAATTGAATAATTAATGATAGTTTAACAATGATAACATATGATAACATAGTACCGCACGAGGCTGCGGCGGCGGAAGTTTCAAAGATAGGAAGCTATACGAAACTATAGGAGAAGTGAGTTGCTGTGATGCATGGATGGCAGAGCGAGCCCACTGATGGACGGAAAGCGGGCTGAGGCTCTGAGTCTCTCTCTCACTCTCTCTCCATCTCTCTCTGTCTCCTTCTCTCTGCGTCTCTTTATCTCCCTCTCTCCCTCTCTCTATCTCTCTCTCTCCCCCTCGCTCTCGCTCTCTCTCTCTCTCTCTATCTCCCTCTCTGCCTCTATCTATCTCTATCTATCTCTATCTATCTCTATCTATCTCTATCTATCTCTATCTATCTCTATCTATCTCTATCTATCTCTATCTATCTCTATCTATCTCTATCTATCTCTATCTATCTCTATCTCCGTCTCCCCTTCTATCTATCTATCTATCTATCTACCTATCTATCCATCTACCTGTTTATCTGCCTATCTGTCTATCATTGCCTATCATTGCCTATCATTGCCTATCATTGCCTATCATCGTCTATCTGTCTACCTGTCTACCTGTCTATCCGTCTATCGGTCTATCTGTCTATCTGTCTATTTGTCTATCTATCTACCTGTCTATCGGTCTATCAGTCTATCCGTCTATCTGTCCATCTGTTTGCCTGTCTATCTGTCTATGTGCGTACCTGTCTATCTGTCTATCTATCAATCTATCTGTCTATCTGTCCGCCTGTCTATCTGTTTGCCTGTCTCCTGTCTATCTGTCTACCTGTCTACCTGTCTATCTGTCTATCTGTCTACCCACACGTTTGGCTCACTTCTGGCAAGGCGCAGAATCCAGTGCACCTGCCAGGAAAAATGACCAATGTTCAAGAGTGGTCCGAACGTTGTGTGTTTGCAACCTTTTGCCTTCAAAATGTGCTTCGCACCACAACGGCATGCACTTGTTCGACATCTCAGCCTCCAAAAGTGGTCCGAACATGTGATGTGTTAAGCATGTTCACTTCGAAATGTGCTTCGCGCCACAACTGCGTACACTTTTTCGACAGATGAACTTCCAAAAGTCGTCCGACCGTGAGGTGTATTTTGACTTTGACATGTGCTTCGGCATCCAAAGAAGACAGTCAAGACTGGTTGTGGTTTCAACCCCTTCGAGAAGTCTTCGTCAACTGGGATTCCTCTCAGGTAGGGATGGAAAAACAACCAACCAGCCTAAAATGGTTGTGTCATATCCCATTTGAAATGGCAACAAAAATACCATTTGAATGATTATATGTGGCATTGCATAGCCATGGATCAAAACCTAGGGTATCACATTTTGGGTAGATGAACAGCCATAAATCCCAACTATTTTGAAGTTCACCAAGGTCTGTACCAGGGTTTTGACCCATGGCCATGCATATGTACACATGCATATTTATACATGCATATGTATACGTGTATAAATACATGTGTATGCGTATATACATATATATATATAATGTTAGTAAAGCAATGCCATAAACCACCCAAATATATTGCTGGTTTATACAACCCATCAACACAGTGATTTTATGTGATTTTGGGGGTGATAAACACAGCTTTGCTTTACAAACATGACACCCTGGTACCCATCAATCCTCCCTGCACCTGGTTGGTCCGCCCGAAGACCGCCATGGGCCGTCCATCATCGGCAAACTGAGGTCCATACGACGACTCGCCGGGAAGGTGCTGGGAAAACTTGGGAAAACTTGTACAAGTTGGTTGATAATCCCCCTTTACTCTGGATATGATCCCATATATCCCTATAGTTTTATGCTAGTTATTGGAGTTTGATCCACTAACTTAGCTAACTATGGGGCACCACCCTGTAGGAAACCATGATTGTTCTTTCCGTCAAGTTCATAAACCAAGATATAAACCAATCCATTGATCCAATGAACCAACTTAAGCTGGAAGACTCAAATAGGTCTGTCCAAAAATAAGGTGTACCCCCAAATTGTATCACATGGATATTTTAAAAATGATGCAAATTATGATAATTATATATAATTATAGATATAGATATATATATATATATACATAAAATCAGCAAATTATCCAATTGCTTGGTATCCGGTTTTCAGACAAACCCAAGTAGCTAGCCAGGGCTGATATGAGTCACCCATGCTCGTAGTATGCTCTTAAGTACAAATGGATAATGAATATTGCAACCAAAAATTGAACATGGACAACCAATTTCATCACACGCAATCTCAAAGTCTCAAAACAACTATATTGGTTTCTACAAGAATGGTGTATACCTCAAAACTCACATGGTTATGGGTCAAAACCCTCAAAACCCTGGTACCTAGGTATCCTAACTATCGCTGCTTGATGGACATATATATATATATATACATATATACTCCCCCACAAATGGTAAGCTCATAGGTTTTGACTCATCTCCACATCTTCACGCCAGGAGTCGGCGGGGATTTGTCGCGCGTGAGGAGTGCCGCCAGTTGAGATCTGACGACTCATGGAGAACCTGGGACGATCTGCAGGAAACCACGGTGTTTCCCATGGAAAATATGGGGCTGTCTTCTAAAGGATCCCTGAAACAGCCTGGGTTCCCAATTCTGGGTCATAATTTCAAATGGGGTGTGTCTGAAAATGGGCTACCCCAAAGGTTTACCCTGGCCGTGGCTGATTGTTTCTGGATGTCATTGGCAAACAGCAAGGAGATGGCAAATTCATCGCCATCCTGGATGATGACTCATGTGCATGAATGAATGATCTTCGAGTTCATGTATTTATATGTATATATATATGTATATATATATATATATGTATACATGTATGTATATATACATATATATGGTTCATATTGTTTCACTTTATTGCTATGAGCTATGAGATCTGTGAATTTCATGAATTTCATCCATGAATCCACACTATTAATGGATTACCCACACTTGTTACTGGATTACCGTTGGATTACCACGTCCAGTGAGCCCAATTTCAGCCAAAGCGCTGTCGGCTCGAAGAGAAGGACCGACGATTCTCGCTCAAAGGGCTCAGCCCAACTGGGGAACTAACGGTACCCAAGCTGGTGCCTTAGTCGGACCACAGAAGTGGTACAGATCATGGGATTATCATGGGATTATCATGGGATTATCATGTGATAGTAATAGGATGATGAATTTTCATGACATTTCCTCATCATTTGAGGCTCAGAGAACTTGCAGTGGACATGCAAGCCAAGTAGTTTCTGCAAGCCGAGGGATGCTCGAGGGGTGTTTCGTGATCTGCTGCGGCTCTGCTGCCTTCAACCCTGGATTTAATAAACCCTTAGGCTGTTTCATTGGGGAGTATCATTTATGTATCATAGTGTTACTATTTGGAGGGTACCCCCACAATTAATAAACCATGGTTTGTTAATCCGGGGTTGCCTTTCCTGACGATGTTTCAAAAGAGCGGTTGAAATGCACAGCATCTGCGGATCGAAAAGGAAAGACTGTGTTGATGTCCAATCCGCCAGCACTACATCTGTCCAAGGAGAGCAAAGTTGGAGCCTTCATTCCCAGAACAAAAGAAAGGAAAAGGATCATTCTGGGTAAATTACAATATTTCACTAAGCTGAATTAAGGCCATTTGGGGATGATTTCCCTTACTAACCATGATTCCAGGGCTCGGTCGCGACGTGAGGTCGTGATGAAATTTACCCAGATCATTAGAAACTTGCAAATCCAACCATTTTCCAGTAGATATTCCCTGAAAAAATCCAGCCATTCAGCTTCCCAGCCTCCCAGCCTCCCAGCCCCAGTGCCCTGCGCAGAACCGAGTTGCCGGAGCCTCTGGACTTGAGGCGATTCGCCGGCGATCCTAGCGGATCGATGAGATTTGGATGCAGTGAAAATCTCTGGATTTACAGATATGATCTGTATTCTATATATATATGATACTCTATGATAGAATACTAGGATACTCAAATCCTATATATGATACTGGATGATACTCGGACAAAATAGGATTGAAATGAAATTTCCGAGAACAATAAATATCAATAAATCCTGCATGTGTGAGAGAGAGAGAGAGAAAGGAAAAAAAACACGTTGAAATTCAGTGTCCCAAAAAATTGAGGCGCCTTACTTAAGCTCTGAAGACTGGAAAAAGGGTTGTTGCTCAAGATTATTGGCCCTACAAGTGGTTGCTGAGAAGGAACACAGTTGCGGTTCTTTTTGTACCGGACGTTTCAATCTTTCTGAGCGGTACCTACATGTCCTCCCTTCTCTGTGACTTGATTATGAGCCTGAAGAAAGATTCCTTTCCTGAATCGGATGACATGGTGATAGCGGCAACGCTTGATCTGTGTCCTTGTTCCATAATTCCCAGCCAGCACTTAAGGTTAGTATAACCCAACCAGCAACATCTACTAACCACAACCAGAATGCTGGAGCCTCGGGAGCCCTGGCTCCGGCTCTTGGCCGGCGCCGAGGCAGGCCGCTTTGGCGGAAGTAGCTCGGCGCCGGCCAAGTCGGGCCTACAGGATGGTGGAGACACACAGCGGACCATGGGAAGTGATTACCATGAAATACATAAAATGATGTGTATATATATATATATCACGGTGGTAACTATACGGCCAAACACCTTGATTTGCCCGCGCTTGTCGGCGGCCATCTTCGTATGTGCTGAAAACGTGGTAAAAATGGGAGTTTTTTGCATGATGGCTAACTTCATGTTCTATATCGGCACGCACAGCATAGGGACCTGTGCGAGTCTCTTACACATCATCATCATCATCATCATCATCATCATCATCATCATCAAACCCTTATTGAAGATCTTCAGTGGATGTAGAGTTTAACGGGGGTGGGAGAATTAAACCCTTATTGAAGATCTTCAATGAATGTAGAAGTTTAAAGGGGGTGGGAGAATTAAACCCTTATTGAAGATCTTCAATGAATGTAGAAGTTTAACGGGGGTGGGAGAATTCAACCCTCATTGAAGATCTTCAATGAATGTAGAAGTTTAACGGGGGTGGGAGAATTAAACCCTTATTGAAGATCTTCAATGAATGTAGAAGTTTAACGGGGTGGGAGAATTAAACCCTTATTGAAGATCTTCAATGAATGTAGAAGTTTAACGGGGGTGGGAGAATTAAACCCTTATTGAAGATCTTCAATGAACGTAGAAGTTTAACGGAGGTGGGAGAATTAAACCCTTATTGAAGATCTTCAATGAATGTAGAAGTTTAACGGGGGTGGGAGAATTAAACCCTTATTGAAGATCTTGAATGAATGTAGAAGTTTAACGTTTGACATCCCCAAGTGTACAGCATAGAAGGGGTGTGGGCGAATCGGGGTGTTTGCGCGTAACTATACATAGTTATAACCAACATAGTTATATCATTGCATATAATTATTGGTGTTTAGTTGATTACAATGGGTGATATATCGTGAATGACATTGGAACTATTCATGGTATTTCAACTACAGATATTTAGAAATCACATTAAGTAGCGATAGTAACTGTGAATTCATACGTGGTAATAATGTTAGTAAAGCAGTATTGTTTCCCATCCCCCATTTGACCAGTTTTATGGGTGGTACAAGCCATCAAGATACCCATGATGACTATCTGCTGGTCACCGAGCCTCGCTTGCCCCGGTGGGTGCCATACCCTTGCGGTGGCTTTGAAGGCTTTGCGCTTTCCCGAGGTTCGACGCACCTGCAAAGATTCCAGTCTTTGCCAGGTACCACCTAACAGTGCAACAACAGAAGGTTATAAATTGGAGTCATAATATAATATAATATATACATATATGTTATATTGTATCTGCATGTATGTATGCATGCATACATGCATTGCATTGCATTGCAATGCATTGCATTACAATACATTACATTACATTACATAGTGTGGGTAGGTGGGTGTACACTCGTCATATGTACTCAGTATGTATTTCTGAATTGGGAGGGTAAAACCAATCACGCATGGATGTTACAGCATTAGAGCACGTCACAGTATGACCATGCGTCCAAAAAAGTGACCCAATTGACCGATGGATGTCACAAAGCCTGAAATCTCTGGGGTCGCACAATTCTCACTGAACCGCCCTAGCTCCAAGAATCCTTTCATCAGACATTGGTGTGAAAATAGGGGACCCCAATTCCAATGGTTTATCAGACATGCTCATAAGTTTCCTTATTGGAACAGCCATTTCGGGGTATACGCCCCATTTTCGTTTGATACTATCATCCATCTGCCAGATTTCACAGACATATCTAGACCTGCTTTTCACACCGAGGACACTGGCATTCATGGATGCTCATCAACCCAAAAGACAGTATAACAGGTGTGTATGAAAACCCCCCACCGTATTGCTGGATTCTTCTGATACCATTTAAGCTGCGATTCTTTTTAACCCAAATATCCGCCATATATCCGCCATCAAACACTAGTTTTCCCCTGCGAACTGGCCTCTGCCAGACTCTTCTGCTTCTGCTTCTGCCAGCGATGTTCCTGTCTGGTCACCTGAACGATGGAAATGATATGATTCACTATGATTCCCATACACAGGCCCATACAAACATATGTACCATGGTGAAGTTACATGGGATTAATGGGAACCCTGAAAATGGGCATCTAAACATCTAAATGCCTAGTGGATTGATGACCATACCCCAGTACAGGCAGTTTGCGGAAGTTTTGACCACGGCACATATGGGTGTTCTTCTGGAAATGGTGTGCTTCAGCTCTAAGGGTCTACAAAAAAAAGGAACGAAACAGTTTCAATTTTCACGCCGTATATTGCGATGTTAACAGCTCAAATATGGTAAAATGAGGCTTCAAACCTTTGGAGAAACCCAAAAAATAATGATATGTTTCTCCCAGAAACTTTTTGATTTCTCCAAACTTTGGGACTTTGGGGGTGCCCCGACTTTGGAGAAACCCAGTTGAAAAAGCCCCGACTAACCCACGTCCGCCTCTCGACCATCTTCCTGGAGAGGGTCCTGCCGAGCATCCGGGAACGTAGAGGCGAACATTCATATCAACATACGATGTAGTATATATATGTGTATATATATATGTATATATATAGTTATACTGATGCTCCCCCGTCTTTCCTATCTAACCGCCCACATTATTATACAAGCAAATTCTATGGGGTTAATACCAAAGACAGGGGAGCAACACCTTATAGAAAACAATAACATAAATCATAACAACAAAACAAAAAAAAAACTGAAACAACCTAAACAATACAATAGATTATTTTTTTAAAAAAAAAAACTATACCATAAATCATAACAAAAAACAATTTCACTTTTATAATTTTGAAATTATAAAATGAAATTTATGTTTGCTGTTTCTTCAAGTTCTTCAGATGCTTTGTTGTTTGTGCGTGTCTCTTGTAATTCTTACATTGAATTTCATAATCATCACATACAGGGCAGGTCATCCATTTTATTTTAGCATTCACTTGTTCAATGTTTTCTGCTCTATGATTTCTTCTTCTTTCATTTATTTCTTCCCTGTGTGTCCTACCATAATTTCTAGCATATTCCTTTGCCTCCTCTCTATGATTGTAATAATAGTCTCTCCTCCTTTCATTATATTTTTCTTTGTTCTTTTGATGATTAGCCCTCATATATTCCCTACATTTATCACAAGTCTTGTATTTACCCTCTTCCATTTCCTTAAAACATTTAGCACACTTGACTTTAGTATCCTCCATTACCTACTATAGATAGGTAATAACTCTTTAAGTGTCTTTCCTATCCCTTTTCCCTAGATAATAACATAATCAACAACAAAATCATAACAAACAAATAAAACAAAAAAAACAAAACAACCTAAACAATACAATAGACAATAAAAAAGACAATATATACCATAAATCATAACAACAATAACAAAATCAAAACAACCTACTACAAACAAAATACAAGCAAAAAGAAAGCAGCAAAACAACAATAACAAAATCCTAACAACCTACTATTAATAAAACATAAACCATAACAACCTCATCATATCAACCCATCTCATCCGTCTCATCCGTAAAAACTATACAATATAATCAACATAATTGTATTGAATAATTGTCATCAAAGCATATACAAATATACATCATCTTACCTTATCTATTTCATAGGTGTTATTTCTAGAAAACATCATTGCTAGAAATAATCCTAGAAAATAATTGCAACATAAATTTAATAGAATTATTTTATCAAATTTATGGGGATAATCAACATAATTTTCATAATCATTTATTATGAAGAAGATGGGATTAATTACCACAGTCTCCCCCTATAGGGGAAGCCTCAGCCCCCAGCCAATATACTATCCCACCCCCCAGCATACATACCAGCATACATACAAACTAGCATATCACAACAGCATCACATCGTTCTCAATCTTAAATATCTTTTAATCCGCAATTGCCATGCCCAAACCGCCCTTCATGAACTTGTTGATGACCACGTCTTCTTAACCTCAGCACGGTGTGAATGGCACAGCAATCCAAACTTTTGGGGCGAAATGGAGTGAAAAAGATTTGTGTTTTGTGCCTTGTTGGTGCCAGAATGTCAAGCTTTTGAAGGCTCACTGGCATCAATGCTCTATTGAAGCAATGTCCTATTCCTACTTGACACCCTGAAACCTTGCTACCTACAGACCTTGTCAATCATAAAAGCATCAGCCAAGAGCCCTGCTTTGCAAGTCGGCGAAGCAAGCACTGTTTTGCAAGTCGCCCTGTTGGCGAAGCAAGCCTTCTCAAGACGTGAACCATCATCGGGTCTGGGGGCCGCTGTCGACTGTGGGATGCCAGTGGAAGCGCTTCTCAGTCTCCTCGAGGTTCTCCGACCGAGGGAGGAAGGGCACTCCACTCTTCTCAGTCTCAATCGGGAGGCCGCGGCCGATGATGATGCCGCCCTTCTCAGTCTCCTTGCCGGAGTTCTCCTCTGCCATGACGTTGTTGCAGCTCACGCACAATGCAAGGATGAGGCAAGCGAATACACCAGATTTGAGCGCCATGGCAATGCCGACACCCCTGAGCTAAAAAGCGTCCCTGAGTGGCTTGAGGAAAAACTCGCAAAAACGCTACGGAAGAACATAAAGATGCTGAAGAATGACACAAAATTCCAAGCGCAAAGTGAAAGAGCTAATTTCTGTAGCTTCCAATTGAGACTGTCAAAGGTGCTCAAATTGAAACAAATTCCAAGGTCAAGCTCTCCAAGAACATGTGGCTTCAAACCTCCAACTGGCATATTCCCAACAGCTGAGTGCCCCGACAACAGGATGAAGAAGAGATTGATGACAAAGCCAAGGCGAGGAAGGGCAAAGGAACATGGAGCAATCCCAGCCAATGACCCAGTCAAACACAAATTCGTGGGGAGAAACAAATGAAGGGCAAAACACAAAACCCCGAAACCAAAACAGCACATCAAATCAATCATCTCATGGTTGCATCAAGTAGGCATGAGTAAGAAAAAAATGAACTTACAAGGCTTTCTAAAAACACTAAATCTTTAAAAGTTCATGCCTCATCAACAATCTTGGGTAATCAGTTAATTTGTAATATTTTTGGTTCAACTTTTCTGCAATCTCTTGCACAACATAATAACCTTTTAGCCAGTGGGAAGTTCTTTCTTTCTCTGTAATTGCTTTCTTTCTCATTATCTTTACTTTGTCTCCCACCTCTAATGTTGGGTATATTCTTTCTTTCTTTGCCTTTGATGCTACATTCAGCATTGCTCTGAATTCATTTTTATCTTTCCTTGCTTGATTAGGTGTCATACCTGTAGCGGAGTGTTTCATCTTATCATTGTATGTCAGCATAATTTCTAAATTGTAGTCTGTCCATTTGATATGTTCTCTTCCTTTCTTTTCATCTGCTTCAACTCTTTTAAAAAGCATATCTTTGTAGGTGCGTATAAATCTTTCAGCAAAAGCAGGATGACCCCTTGTCCTATACAACTCAATCTTCTCACCTTCAATATAGTCTTTAAAATCACCTCCTGCTATTGCTTTTTCATCATCACTGTATATGATTTTTGGTTTCTTTCCCATTCTTTTTAATGCCTCTTTAGTTGCCTCAATAACATCAGGTTCATTCTTGCTTACAATTGGAATTACTACGGCATACTTGCTTAAAACATCAATACAAACCAATCCTCCTCTATATTTTTGTTCTTCATCAAAATCATAATACCCCATAAAAAACAAATCAATTTGATAAGTATGATTGTTATGAGGTGCTACAAAGGAATTATGCCCTCTTGGCTTTGCTTTTATCTCAACATTTTTCCTAAAGAATTGTTCAACATCCTCTTTCTTGATTGTAGGTTCTTTCTTTTTAGCATCTTCTAATGTGGTCTTTCTTGAACCATAGCCCGCTTTATCAAAATAAATATCACGAATAATTTGTTGTTTCTTACTTTCACTCATTATAGAATAGATGATATAATAAATATTAAAATTATATCATTTATTCTTCATTTTGTTCATTGAACCAGTCTTGGTGTTTCTTTGTTCTAAAATGCTGTGCTTTGTATCCGTATGAAATGATACAACCACAATCACAGGTAATCTTTTTAGATTTTCTCTCATAGATTTTGTCAGCATTATTCTTTTGATATTCTTTTTGTTGTTCTTGGTAGTATGTTTTTTTGCTATGATAATTACTGCGTTTGATTTCACACAAATGTTCTCGCTTGTTGTCATTGTATTCTTTGATGCGCCCATTTTTATTGTTTTGGTAATAGTTTTTGCTTTTTTCTTTATAGGGTTCAGGATTGTCATTGTATCTCTCTTTTGCTGACCTTCCTGATATGTTTTTGTTGATACAGTCATTGTTCTTAATGTAATAACCTTCTCTTTTGTGAAGTTCGGCAATGCTTGAACATACATAGTTCTCTACTAATTCAATCTTACAGTTTTCAATTCCAAATTTATCAAACATATCAAATAAAGATGTGTATTTTCTCTTGTTTCCATTGAGATACTGTTGGTAAGTTGTTTTATGTCCTTTAAATCTGTTTGGTAATGTATCTATTGTTGAACCGAAGTAGCATTGCTCATAAGCAATATCAACAACTTGGTAAATTTTGCCATTTTGGTAGTTTTTGGTTTTTACCATACTAAACACTATTATACATAAATAAACAGTCTTTAACACCATTTTCACAATGATATTTTATTTGAAAAAGCACAATTACAAGAAACGCAATATCCAACTACATTATCTTTGAAGTGGCTTTGTTCATTATTGACCCTTTGACAGCTAATATTTGATGAAACCTTGCCATCTTCAAAATCTATCACCAATGGTTCATTACAATTTTCACACTGGGTATCAGGTTCATCAAAAAATCTACATCAACATACTCATTTCCTTCTACATCTCTACCTGCTTTTTTGTCTTGCTCAATGTAATTTAAAACCTTTCTCTCAAAATACTGCTCTACTATCCTTTTAGATTTACTTTCTTCACCTTTATTATATTTGAAAAACTTAATTTTGTTGAAGTCTGTAGCCCTTGTGAGGGCTGTAAAAAACCAATTCTTACTAACATACCATTCATTCCAATCATATATGACTATATCACCATCAACGCTACAACCTTGCTTTGAATGTGCGGTGTAGCAGTAAGCATATATAAAATGCTTTCTCAATAATTTCAGTTCTATATTTTGCTTCTCACCAGTTGCCACATTTTGTAAAACAACAATATCCCCAACGATATTTGAAATCCTAAATTTAAAATTAACATTAAATTTTGTGCCCATAGTCTTGATATATTTTCGGCATATAACTTCCTCACCAATAACATATTCTTCAGTTATATTTTTCATTTCTCTGATTTTGCTTGACACCATTTTACAGGTGTTATTCGTATAAGCAATATTATTATCATACATTTCTATCTTGTCAGTCCATTTGAAATAGTTATCAATGATTTCTCTAAAAGGTGTGCCTTCAAAACTCATTCTTTTGACATCTCTTAATTTGTGTCTATCTTCTTCAGTCTTCAATCTCTTACATTCATATAGCATAATATTATTTTCAAAAATCAAATTAATACAATGATTAGCATATTTCTCAAATGACATTACATTGCTTACCCTCTCTGGGTTTTTCAACTGGTTAGTGTCTCCAGTTGCCACTATTATTTTATCAGGGTTGTTCTTACAGAAGTCCCATATTAAAGCCCACTTGCCTACATTATGAAAATATATCTCATCAAACACTATGACATCATAAACTGAATAATCAAACTTTGTAAGCCTCTCATCTCCAAATGAAATACCAAAAAACTTATTTATGGTCGCCCATTCACAACCGCACTGTTGCCCTAACTCATTGCTATGAACAACGAATAAAACTCTGTAATTTCTATTTTTCAGATGCTTACATATACAACTCTTGCCTGAACCAGCGAACTCTGCTTGGATAAGCAACCTTTTATTATTCAAAATATGTTCATCAACGATTTCATCAGTGTTCCATTCATCCTTGACATCACCCGTTTTATTTTCATATTGAGTTATATCACATAGAATACTGGGTTGCTTACAAAATGCCTTGCTGGGAAAATTGAAATTATCGGACCACCTCCATTCACCAATCTCACTACCAAACTTCAACACATCCTTTGCTTTACCCAGATTACATTTATCAATCACAAAGGCATCAGTTTTGACTGAATACACCATTACATTATCCCTCATAAGTGTTTCATAAGCCTCATTCATATCAAAATTATGATGTTGTAAAATCAGTTCTTTCACATATTTATATCCATTCAGTAAAGTTTTTGTATCGGAAATGTTCAGCACATAGTGCTTACACTCATCCACTATTTTAGCACATTCTTTCTCATTAATCATAGGTTCAATGACATTACCTTTATCATCAAATTCAAGCAAACAATCATCATCATTATCATTCACTTCACCATCCCATTTAGTTTCAGTAATGATACTTATATCACCACCGTATTTTTCTTGATAGTAAAAGGCATCAACCATTTTTGAAAACACTATGGACTTTTTAGCCTTGTTAGTTTGTTTTTCCAATAAGCCAATGTTGATACAAGCAATCATTTTTTCTTCAACTTATCTTTCTCCTCATCCTCATCCAGTTTCAATTTCCAAAGTTCATCAACTATTTTTTTGTAATTAACTTTGTAGGTGTTAGATGGAATTTTGTAATAAATGACTTCAACATCATCAGCATATTTTTTCAAAAACTTACCATATATCAAGTTATAAGTCCTATTGAAAAATAGATTTCTCATTTTGCTTTTAACAAGATATAATGTTAAAGCATTCATCTTGTTAAAATCATTCTTTGAATAATCATATTTTTTCCAAATATCAAATTCAGAAAAGCAAGGCACTTCAAAAATATCAATGGTGGATTTTGTATAAGCCTTTCTCCTATCTAACTCAATGTGTGTATCCTTACCTTCAATGATGCTTTCAAAATATCCACTTGGAGCTATGCTATGTGCCATTGAAAATATTTTCAAATCATCATTGTGATAATATGACTTGTGATTAGGATTGAACATACCCTTGTTGAAATTTAAAAATGCCTCATTGACTTTATTAAACATATCAGCACTATTACTATCAATACAATTATCCACCGCACAGTCTATTAAACTCTGACTTCTTATATTCAAAATCAACTTATTAAATTTAACCTTGAGTGATGATACATTGCCACCTGCTCCCATTATGATTTTAGGCTCATACTTTGCTCTCTTGAACTCACAAAAAATTGTATTCAAATCCCTGCCACTAACTAAATTCACTTCCTCTTCACTTTCTTCATTAGCTTCAACTATACCCATTATGTCATCAATGCCATTGAAAAAATCATACTTAACTTCTTTCTCCTTGCTATTTAAACGAAAGTCAGTAGAAGCACATAGTTTCATATGTTCCTCTAATTCCTTTTGTGCTATGCTTTTGATGTTGTCATTCATTGTGTAAATGTGGTTGCCCTTAATCATTCCAAACAATACA